AGATTTATTTTCACTCTTTTTTTTTAATTGCTTTTGGCTAGGGCGTTATCAAATGTGAAATATCAAGAAAGATATATGGTTTGTTTTAATATGATAATATTGTTGGGTTTTTTTGGGTCAATACGGTGATTTAGCCACCCTTAAAGACGAATCGTATGACAAAACAGTAATAAATGTAATATAATATAAAATGGAATTAGCAAGTAATAGAAAATGAAGGAATGAATAAAAGAAAACAATAAGAGAAAAAAACTCGAGGCACTGTGAACAATGAGCTCACTAAATGATACCAACCTCCTCCTATATGGTTATTATGGCAAAGTCCATGTTTTGCTGTGGCCGGATCATAAAGTAAACTAGGAGGTGCACAATATGTAATAACGATTCTGTGAAAGTTTCATCAAATTTCCCTCAGTGGTATAAGGGGAGTTAAGGATAAGAGATGGGTACCCCAAAGCATAACAGACAGACGGACGGACGGACATACCGATTACAGTATACCCTCCCACTTTTCAAGCGGGGTTTAAAATGAGCATGAATGATCGAAAGAGCGATAGATGCATTTCAAAGATTGCTAATTTGAGACAAGTAATTAGTACAAGGACGTAACATCGTTTTTGAAATGGGCAGTCAAAGAAAAAAATCGACTTTACCTTTCAGTACCAAATATTTACTACTAGTATATTGCAAGAAAGAAAAAGAGGAGGACCAGCCTAGCTTTCACAGAGCATTTTCAATGGTAAAAAGTTACAGACACGTAGCATCGTTTTTGAAAGTGGGGGGGCCAACCTGAGAAAATTTTTCTACTTACCTAAAAAAAAGTTGACAAGCAAAAAAAAAAAAAAAGAAAATTAACAATTGCCCAAACTCGAAAATCCTATTTCGTAAAGGGGGGGGGGGGGGGGGGGGGGGGGGGGGGGGGGAGGCCAACTTTTTTCAAGGCCAACTTCCTTTCACTTCCAATTTTTTTCCTATATATTCCTGCTATATATGTACTGTGGTAAAAAGTGGGGGGGGGGGGGCAACCATCTTCTCAATGGACATTTTCTATAGTAAAGGTAATGTTGGGGAAAAAAGTGGGGGGCCAGACTCCCCCTGGCCCCCCGGTTGCTACGTGCCTGAGTTATATTTTGAAAAAATACGGAGGGGCCAGATCCCTCTGTCCCCTTCCAAGTACCCTCTGATGCTACGTGCCTACAGTATTAGTAGAAAAATATTATAATTTTGTTAAATTAAAATACCCAGGAATGAATACGTTATATCCCGCTCTGTTTCGTTTCGTATACGCGTCGAAATGTGTTAAATTTAATATGGGTTCAGACGGAATAGAGAGATTGTCTGAAAAAAAGTTATGTAAGATGGGCGATCAAGGCGAACAAAATGCCTTTTTTGCGAAAAATATAAAAGTGATAAAATTAAATTTCAATTAAAACATTCTTTTTTTCTTTGATACTTTATTTTAAAACATTACCGTCACAGTTCTACTTATCTCAAAACGACATTGATTTTCCATTTAAAAAATCTGCTTTTCCGCAACAAATAATACTGCTTTTCTGCGATTATATGTATAGTTTTGCTTTTTGGGGACTTATACAATTGTATTTTAACATATCCCTCTGTCCTTAGCCAAGTAAAATATATTGCCCATGCTTAGTACGAAGAATTATAAACATTGAACACAAGAGGCCCATGGGCCACATCGCTCACCTGAGCACTGTGGCTAAGAAAAAGTAGAAATTGGTTTATTAATGAAAAATTTAAATCCAAAAGTAGTCCCATGACCAACCATGGCTTTGCTATTCTTGAGAAGATGATTTTTAAAGAATTTTCCTATATATGTCTATGAAAAACTTGGTCGGCCATTGTGGCCCCGCCCTACCCCCTGGGATCATGATTTGAACAAACTTGAATTTACATTAGCTGAGGATGTATCCCCGTAAGTTTCATCTTTCCTGGCACAGTGGTTCTTGAGAAGAAGATTTTTAAAACATGTCACCAAATTTTCATTAATTCCCAATTATCTCCCCTTGAATGAGGACTTGGCCCTTCATATGAACAAACTTGAATCCCCTTCACCCAAGGATGCTTTGTGGCAAGTTTGGTTGAAATTGGCCCAGCGATTCTTGAGAAGAAGTCGAAAATGTGAAAAGTTTACAGAAGATGGACAGCTAGACAGATGGACGCCGAACAAAATGTGATCAGAAAAGCTCACTTTAGCTGAAGGCTCATGTGAGCTAAAAATTACGTCATTTTTATTTGATATAAGGTCACAAAGGGTGCAAGTAAAATTTAACATATTTTCAACAAGAGGCCCATGGGCCACATCGCTCACCTGAGCAGCTTTTACCATGCTGTTCTTTACCAGATTTCCCCCTTGTAATACATATTGTGACCCCATCCTACCCCACTGATCATAATTTAGACATTTTGAAATCTACACTATCCCAGGAACCTTCCACACAAGTTTCAGATTTTCTGGCCCATGCAGTGGTTCTTGAGAAGAAATATTTCCTTTATATTTCTATGAAAAACTTTTAATCCCTATTGTGCCCCCCTACACACGGGGTCATGATATGAATGATTTAAAACCTATACTACCCAAAGATGCTTCCACATCAGTTTCAGCTTTTCTTTCCCAGTGGTTCTTCAGAAGAAGATTTTCAAAGATTTTTCCTATATATTTCTATGTTTAACTTTGATTCTCCATTGTGACCCCCCAACCCCTGGGGGTCATGATTTGAACAATTTAGAATCTACACTACCCCAGGATGCTTCCACATAAGTTTCAGCTTTTCTGACCCAATGGTTCTTGAGAGGAAAATTTTTAAAGATTTTTCCTATATATTTCTATGTAAAACTTTGATTCCCCATTGTGGCCCCGCCCTACCCCCGATGGTCATGATTTGAAAAATTTAGAATCTACACTACCCCAGGATGCTTCCACATAAGTTTCAGCTTTTCTGGCCCAGTGGTTCTTGAGAGGAAAATTTTTAAAGATTTTTCCTATATATTTCTATGTAAAACTTTGATTCCCCATTGTGGCCCCGTCCTACCGCCGGGGGTCATGATTTGAACAATTTAGAATCTACACTACCCCATGATGCTTCCACATACGTTTCAGCTTTTCTGACCCAATGGTTCTTGAGAAGAATATTTTTAAAGATTTTTCCTATATATTTCTATGTTAAGATTTGATTCCCCATTGTGGCCCCGCCCTACCTCCGGGGCTCATGATTTGAACAATTTAGAATCTACACTACTCCAGGATGCTTCCACATCAGTTTCAAGCTTTCCTACATATTTCTATGTTAAAATTTGATTCCCCATTGTGGCCCCGCCCTACCCCCAGGTGTCATGATTTGAACAATTTAGAATCAACACTACCCAAGGATGTTTCCACATAAGTTTCAGCTTTTCTGGCCCAGTGGTTCTTGAGAAGAAGATTTTTTAATGACCCCACCCTATTTTTGTCTTTTCTTGATTATCTCCCCTTGTGAGGGGACTTGCCCCTTCATTTTAAGAATTTAAATTCTCCTTCACCAAAGGATGCTTTGTACCAAGTTTGGTCAAAACTGGCCCAGTGGTTCTTGAAGAGAAGTCGAAAATATGAAAAGTTTACAGATGGACGGACAGCTAGTCAGAAAGACGGACAAAATGTGATTAGAAAAGCTCACTTGAGCCTTCGGCTCAGGTGAGCTAAAAATGAACAGTTCTGATTATTCAGAAATTCACAAGGCCAAAAGAGGCCCAAGGTGAACCTTGTTCTTTGTGCTCCCATTACCAAAAACACCATCTCAGATCTGCACATTTCCCCTGCATTATGCTAGCAATACACCTGTTCGTGCATTATGTATACAATAAAAAATTAGGATTTCATATCGTTATCCTTTGTACATACAAAAACTACCTAATTCACTGAGTAAACATTATCATTACTGAATAATTGAAAAAAACTTTTGATGACAAGTATGCAACATGGTTCATCCATGTACTGGTGTGTGTATTGAGCAATGTTTCCTTTCATTACAACTCCTAGCGTTATTCCTCTTTGAATCACACGCACAGACTGACAATATACAAATTGGCCAGTCTGCCTTACCTCGATGACCGTCAAGCTAACGCTCAATGCCATGAAAAATGAAAAAAAAAAACATTATCATATACATTTATTTATCACTATTCCACATTTCATAATACCCCCAAATGTGAAAAATATTTAAGTCTTTGTCTATCAATGTCATTATCACAATTCATCCTTTCACTCATCTGTATCTTCAATCTTTGGAGCCAGGTAGTATCTCAAGAATCCCATGTCTGCAATCTTATATTCAACAACTGCAAATAAAGAACAATGATTTAGTCCTTCACAGAAAAAAATTCAACATAAATCAATACCAGAAATATGTGGTAAAAATATTTCTAATTTATTGATTATCTGGAAGCTCTATTGTATATCTAAACTTCAAGACTTGGTCTTTAATAGCTTAACAAGCCACTTGCTACTCTTTTTGGATTTGGTTAGGACGACAGCTGCCATGCCTCGAAGTAAGAGCCCCCCTTCTTTCTTTTAAAGTTCGGTCTTACAATTTTACCAAAAAATAAGTTTAATATTTAATCGAGAAGTGAATATTATACATTTATTTTAAAGTTCGGTCTTACAATATTTACCGAAAAGGCAAAACCTTTGAAATAAACATAAACTTTCAAATTCGGCACCTCTCTCGAAATCATTTTCGTTTTTTACGTAAAGTTTCTATAAAACCCTTTGTTTTAATCTATTGTGAAGAAGAACAAGAATATATTATCTAGGTGTTCCGAAGAGGTGGAATATGATGAAAAGCGTGCCGACGGCCGGGAAATATGAAGTTTTACGTCCCGATCACGTGATAACTTAGAACCAATCAGATAACGCGTTGTTTAGAATATTTATAATGAGGTATAATAATATCTTTTCCTCTTTATCAACGTTGTATAATAGATTGGGTAAATCTATATTTCAGCCTTTTGTTGGGGATGATACCATTCACGCGTGCTACAAGTATGAATGGCGAAAAAGAAATGATTATAAACCAGGAGTCGACACAGTGCTTGTAAGTTACTAAATATTCTACTTTTCCATTCAGATAAAATTACGATTTTCAGGTTATAATAAAACTTTTGTTGACATCAATTTAAAAGTTTGAATCCTCCTAGTATAAAAATACATTTTGGCCAAACATGTATAAGGACTGATTTTTGGAATGGTTATAAAATATAAATATATTTATCTCTGAGTTTCTAAACTTATTATAATATTCTTAATAGGAGGAACATTATGAAGAGCGCAAGGAATCTAGAGTCAATTCTCCAGTAAAAGACACCATGGAATTAGAAGTAAGTATACATGTAGATGTTCTAAACATCTGCTATTAAATGTTTTAAATCAAATTTGAAATTAGAAACTACAAAGATTTTATTAAAGCAAGGGCATCAAAAAGAAATAAAACAACTGACATACTAGTATCTCATTCTTTTTTTTCAGAATGAAGAACTGAATCCGTATATAAAACTAATGTTACAACCACTAGTGCGTTTTATGGAGGTCTTAATGTCAGAGGTACTGGTAATTTTGACATTTTTCATTTCAATTTTCTGTACACAAGCAAATGCGAATGAAAGTATTTTAAAATCCAGGGATAAATCTTATGTGATAAATACTTTTAATTTTAGAACCCCTTGTCACTGGTAGAAATCTGCTCCATGAATGTCCCCACTGAGCTGCTTACAGACGCATGTACAAGTGGCCCAGAATATGAGACAAATTCTGTAGATACAGAACAACAGACTGATCAGGTATGATTGCTAAGTATTTTATATTCTAGTACTTATGAGCTATAACTCATAAAAATTGTTGCAGTCAACAGATACTTTTTTTTTTAAATAACGTTTTACTTTATTGTTATGGTGATTTCTTATTTCTTACTCAATTTAACATCATTAAACATTTTCTTGTAACAACAATTTACAATTTGTTCAAGAATTATTTTGATATGATTCATATATATTGTTTTCACAGATTTGCAAGAAAGGAAGTAAATGGAATTTGCCATTCAAGTTGCTGCGCAGAAATGTAAGTAAATCTGAACAATGTACAAATGTATCAAACAATATTCATGATACAGTGCAACATGAATAAAGCCCCTTAGATAAAAATACATACTTATAGGTCAATTAGTAGACATTTATCTTATACAGTTAAACACCACTATACCGATATGCTTATAACGAATTCACGCTTAAAGTAGAGATTTTTTACAAAAGCTTATTACTGGCATTACTTCTCAGATATACCGAGTTACCTTTATGAGGAATGTTAATTGTGTCCTTCCTACCCCTTTTGCAACAAGCGTATTTTACTGTATGACTTTTTTACTACATGACTTTTAGACATTACTTTTATTTTTTTTTTTATTTGTAGAAGAAAGAAAATGGACAAAAGAAGAGATCTTCAGGATTTTTCTCCCGTTTTTTCCACTGATCACTAAGGCCTTCCTTTAAAGACTATACCAAAGATCTTTCGCCATCTTTTCTCCAGAGTCTTTCAATAAACTATGTTCAAAATTATGCCATGATGGACCACATTTTGCATTTATTGAAGTTTCCTGCCAGATCATCGATTAATTTTTGTGAAGCTACTTTTATTAGTATATTTCAAATATAAATTCTAGTAAATTCTTGTGAACCTTTTCTTTGCCTTTGTTTTGTTTGTTCATGAAAAGGTGACAAAGTTAAATCAAAGTGATAAAATAAATGGGCAAAATACAAATCTGGAAAAACCAGAGTTGGCTGGAATCGGATACCTCGAAGAAGAAGTAGCGTTAGGACTCGCATTTTGCCGTCAGAAATGCTGAAAATTCTCCGGATTCCTAGGGCTTCTGTAGAGAATGTGGTCAAGTGAATGAGCCACTCAATCTTTGCCATCGGCTAGACTTATGCATTGTTTTAAAAAATCACTGTCTAGTTAGTGTAGCATGTCAGGGTATCAACGATAATGGGAAACATGGGATAATTTGCATAACGGGCGAAGCCCGTTATGCATAAATTATCCCATGTTTCCCACTATCGTTGATGTCCCTGCCATACTACACTAACTAGACAGTGATTCCTTATATTTTCATTTCATTGTGAAATAAAATAGTAGATTTAGACTTTAAAAATGTAGATTAATAGATTTAAATTACATGAGGACTTCCATGTCAATTTCAATAGTCCTCGCCCACTGGCGTCAAACACAAAGGCAGCCGCACGAGATTTACATGCATATTTGGCCTCCTTAGCGTCAGACACAGAGACAGATGCGCACGAGATTTGCATGCGTATTAGGCCTCCTTAGCTCCTGACCTATTGACCTGCGTAATTTACATTCCAGCAGAATTATCAAGAAATAAACTCCCCCTAACATTCAAAGAGTTATCACAGAGAAGAAAATTAGAAATGGAAATATTATCGAATGCTATCAGGCACCTATATAGTATATAGCTCCCTGATGCTATGTACACTTCATGGAAAAATACATGGAAATGGAACAACGAATGGAATTTTTAAGCCTTGGATCATAAGAACCAAAGTTGAAAAAATGACAGATTTATGGCAAGTTACAGATCGTTTGCAGTTTATGTTTTATATTCACTTATACACTGTATACAAAGTGCTAATCGAAAATCTACTTGATTTGGATCACTTGCTATATTGATTTGGGTACTCTGATGCATTATGGGTAAAAAAGAAAATTCTGCAGACAAAAAATGGGTAAAGGTAACTTTAAGAAATTAGGAAACTTATTAAACCTTTATAGAATCAATGTAAATTGATTTGAGAAAATTTTTAAATTGGAACATGTTAGAAATTCGATACCGTTCTCATTTGCGAAGTTAAAATGGGATTTTCGCTCATTTTGAATTATTTCAAATGTTCTTAATTTTTTCGAACTATATTCTATTGTAAAAGTTATTGTATCTAAGTTTTCGCCTCAATTCACCAACGAAACATCATCTGATTTCTATAAATTACGCTTTTTAGAGAAATTAAGCTATTCTTGTTTTGAATGAATGCTATACTATGTTTGCAACATATTTTTGCGATGGCTATACTTTTTTCGGATCCTTTTTGTGATTTGCATGAAATTAAAATTTATTGTTTTTTGATAAAATTATCGCGATTTAAACAGTTTTGAAATAAATATTGGCATTTATTATCACAAGAGAAACATTTATCAGTCGAAAGAAGTTAAACAGAAATCAATAATTATAGAATTTGATGGAATGTGCTATCATTGCTGGGTTTGTGCGATACTTGATTTGCGTTTTGTCGTGATTGATACAGAAATGCTATGTATGATTTGAGTAGAACAAAGCGTATATAGGGGGAGTATAATCCAAAGACACTGTCTCAAGTTTATGTCATGAAATAACTTAATGATAAATACACGTAATATATTTTCACTTATGTTTTAAAGGTATGTAAAACGGAAAAAAGGGCTTCACAAAGTATTCGAACTTTTTCCAAAGCTCATGATAGGCGTAAGACTGAATGCGTTAACCACGTTATATTCGGTGTCTTCTTGATGTTTGTGTGTCAGTTTGCTTTAAAGAAACGAATTTGTTGAGACAAATAATGTTTTTCAACCTATCATTTAATTTATCTTGGGTCGGTTTTGTTTTGTTTTGTTTGTTTGTTTGTTTGTTTTTTTTTTTTTTTGCTTACTTCTTTCACCAAACTGTTAGACCTTTGTTTTTATACTAAATTTGATTACGAAATGCTCCGTTTACTTGATCAATATATAGAGCTCACAGCGGATGTGACTGATCAACAAGGAATGTTTACTCCTCCTAGGCACCTGATCCCATCTCTGGTATTCCTGGCGGGGGGGGGGGGGGTCCGTATTTATGCCCTGCTCACATGTTTGTATTGTTTGTATATTTTTCGACAGAAATCAATGCTCATTTTCCTCACTTTTTTTTCATTTGCGTGTTTCTTGTCTTCGATTTTATTTTTGTTTTCTCTCTGTGCATTTTCCCTATGTTTTCTTTTAATATTTTATGATTCCTGTATAATAATGTAAGATATATATAATACAACAATACACATTGAAAGCATCTCGGGAAAAATCAGTCTAAACTATTTTAATGACCCAAAGTCATGATAGCTGCTAGCTTGTTTTATTTTTTAAAAATTTCTAACAATCTTGTTTAGATTAAGAGTATTGAACAAGTAAAATTATTGTCATGTAACAAACTTGCAACTATAAAAATATAACAGTGGTCCACAAATGATTACATACATGTAGTTGATTTTGAATTGAAAAGGTACATGTATCTATAAATAGTAACAGGCGATTTCCTTTTAAATGCTTGAGTCGGACGTTTCCTCGGTAATTATAAGGCAGCTATGGCTATTTATATAAATATATATGTATCATAAAACGCTTAAGGTGAGCATATGATACATGGACCTCCTATGGACTGGGCCATTGTTGAAATGTAAGATGGGGAAGAAAATATTGTACAGTACTGTTGTAAACACAAAGCAACGTCAATAAATTATTTTACTAATTGCACTAGGCCTAAATACTGTATGAATACTCGAAAAAAGTATAGCTGTCATGACAACAAAGATAGCTTTCTGGATATATTCTACGCAAACCTAAAATAGCCCTGGAAAAGTTGGGTAGGTGCATGTTTGATGTAATTGCCAGGATATAAAGAAGATCTTGTGGTCAAATTTGATAGCTTACGTTTGTTAAAGATTCATATCAAACATTACAATAAATGTTTTATTGAAATAATGTCAACAGTCCATTCCAGTGGATGATTAGTCGAAAAATGACCATCAGATGCGTGAAAAACGCGTGCTACCGATGTTTATGGAGGGGTAGATGAAACAAAAATACGATAATCTTTAAATTTACCAAGAAGAAGTCTCATATTGTTTGAAGCAGTTTTATTATCGGTAAGAAAACGTATATAAAGGCACATTTTTGTCTAAATGTGCAGACAGAAACTTTGTATGATCCAAACAAATATAGCTAGTGATCCAAATCAAGTAGATTTTCGATTAGCACTTTGTATACAGTGTTATATATAAGGTATACGTTTACACAATTCACTTTGAATTTATCTTGTTCCTCTCTTTAAAAACCGTCTTAAACACTTTCCGTGTTAATATCCAATTACTTAGTGCAGAGTCAATAGTCCATGGTTAATTTCTGACCAAAGGCTATATACTTAGTGACCGCATAATCTACATGTATTCCTGTCCTGCTGAACTGACAGATTTTGAGCTTAATTTTTTGCAATTCATTTGGACACATAAGGGGTATTATTATAGATCCAGGTCTTGTTGTCCCTATAAAATTCAAAAGGAATAAGATGACAAAAGTGAATTAATAAACAACAAAATTATCTGTAAAGGAAATGGTCTCTTATTTGAGATTTTGTGAAATTTCAAAAATGATATGCATGTACATTGCGCCGGCATTTTTAAAGACATTGAACTAGCTTTAATTTTAAGTACAAAATTACAAGTATTTAAAGATGACCAAAGAAGAAAAGGAAATTATGTGTATTTTTAAATGAAATGTAAAGTGAAATATTTATGGTATAAAAATGACATTAAAAAATCACAAAGAAAAACGACCCGCATATCTCAGGCTGATACCATTAAAATTATTTCTGGAGGCAAAAATAAGTTGAAAATTCACAATTGCATACCCATTTCTTTTGTTGTATTAAGGAATCTTGTTTGGTTTTGACACTTGTTTGTTTCCATGAATACAAAGAAAATCTATCCAATTAGTCGAGGATTCGCGCGTCAACTTGTTAGTTACTTCCGGAAAATTACATCTGATAGACCGTCCGTCAATTTCTTCCCAACCAACCTATCATTAAAGCCACGGGAACCAGCATGGAGCACCAGCTAGCACTACAATTCATAAAATAGCTTAAGTTACATGTCTTTTTTGTACATGCATTGAGACGAGGTGATTTCCGTGGGTGATATCCATGCCACTGACAATGATCCGGGCGAATCCCTCTATTCTGCACTAAATGACAGACATTTATTAAAACCGGGATTCCTTATCGGTTCCTCGGGCTGTGAGCTCTAAACACCTCTTTTAAGAAAGAAATGTTTAACAATCAATTTAAAGTCAGCCCCATTGTAATTAACAGCAGATTTTATTCTTAACACCAAAAGGTTTGATCCCAGCTTTGTGGTTTTTAAACGAAAATGAAGATGATAGCTTCGGTTTACATTTGACTTCATATGTGTTTGTGTGATCAAAAATGAATAAGTATCTAAACATTTGGAGAACATATTTTCTTATATTTTTGATATACCAGGCTAAATCGTGGTGAGTCAAATTTATATTTTTATTTGCAGCATTTTTCCCTTTTGATTAAAATATCTAATTCTTACATACCTTATGCATTCCAGTTGATCAATCTTTTATATATATATATTTTTTCAATATTATTCGTTACTTTCAAGACAATCATATCAATAGGATGCTTTTAGAGTTCGATTGTTAAAAAAATCGAATAAATGTATCATTTTGGAGTCAGAATTTGGTAATATATTTTATCGATGTTTGGACCATATAAAATCGATGTTTTTAATGTAAACTTGACTTTCTGGAGATTTGAATTTGGTACTTATTGCTTATTAAAGAGATTTAAAATAAAATCTTTTCAATAGGACCTTTTTAACACAGACACGGGCGTAACGGAAATTTGAACGGGCGTAAACATCTAAATAATTTGCAGGAACAAATTGAAAGTTGAAGATAATGGCTAACGTACACCACCCTCAATTTTTAAAGTCAGTTGTTTGCAGTTGAAAAATATTTAAATATAGCCTATATTAAATTGATTTTTTCCATCTTTTTGAAATCAATGTAGCTACTTTATCGATATGTAGACTGTGAACAAGCAAGCAAAGAAGAAAAATCGAAATTCAAGTTATTATAAAACAGAATTGTATTTTACTCATTTTAAGGCATTGTATTTACTATTTTAGAGAAAATGCATCAAAATGAATAAAAATATCAAAACTCATAAATTACTAATTTGAAAATTTTAATAGAGAATTTAATATGCCTTTAAACATGATAAACCAGCTTTAATTCTTAAATATGCTCTCTCTCTCTCTCTCTCTCTTCAGAGTAAATATCTAATGGACCAAGGATTATTTTATTTTATCACTAGCACAGTAAATCAGACAAACTTGAATGGCGATCATGATCGTATCTTTGTAGAAATCTAATTCGCGTGGCCCATAAATAGTTCCCCGTCCTCCAACAGATAAAAGTCAAAATCCTATACTGGTTCCTGGAGGTCTTTGGGAAATTTTGAGGTTTGGTGAACAGACATGGCGACGCAAATTTATCTGTTTTTATTGTTTAGGTGACAATGCCCCCTCCGCGGGTTTATTCCCCGAATGGCTACTGGAATAAAACAACAAGTAATTATCACACTCAATTAAGGGGCTTTCTAAGGGGTACATGAATTACTTTATAAATATATTTTTCAATATAAACAAAATGAAATGGAAATTCATCTCATTTTATTTTAATTTGAGCACTATATACCATAAATATTTTGTATACATATTTTTTAAATAAATAATTTTACAAGCACAAATATTAAAAACTATAAATTATCTTGAAGTTCTATTGATTAGCAGTCTGATTTTCAAATTATATATGAGATAAAATGTTTCACTTTCATATAACACATATTTACAATTTATTTAGTCCATCTCCGTATATTTCTTTGCAACTAACGGATCCGGATTGCTATGAAAGGTGAAGAAGTTCATAAACTTCATCTGGATTTTATGATTATTTAATGGAATGTTTTGATAATTCAAAATGATAGATAAATAAAATAAATTAAATTAAACAAAACTTTATAGAAACACTTTATTTATCATACATATATATATCTACCGGTCTATTATTTAAAAAAAACAACACTTGTGTTAATTTATCTAAAAGAGTTTGAAAATGTAGCACAAAAAGGGATAATAATTTTTAAGTTCTCAATCAATACTATTAATAAGTTGGGGAAAAAATTATATCAAAGGTACAATAAAAATTTCACTTTTCTTAAATCTTAATTTTATCTACTTATATTTATATATATTTTTATTCAGTATATTTCTTTAGAAAATAGAAAACCCTCTGAATAAAAATATAATTGAATGAATATATCTGATTTACAAAATATTGCTTATCCAGGTAAACACAGGTAAACACGTGTACCCCGAAACATGTGTTGACCCCTTAATTGAGTGTGATAATTACTTGTTGTTTTATTCCAGTAGCCATTCGGGGAACACACCCCTCCGCGTGCGAACATCAATTAATTACCGATTATTTACTGACTGGAATGTGTTTTGGAAAACAATGAGATGAATTTTTTTCCCTAAACAAGTTGGTACAACGACCCCAACAAAATGAATGCCCTACTTTATAAATATATTTTTCAATATAATCACATCATACATTACATGACCTTTTTTCTGAGAGAATAATTTTGAAACTCTCAAAAAATACTTCTTCTGATTTTCCCCCTCACGATATATGCAAAGATAGTGATTAACACAAAATTTCTTTTTTTATTAGGTCTTTAAATAAAATTTTGATGACGGGACCAAAATTTGGAATATTAACAGACAATGCAACAGCGCTAATATCGTTTTCATCAAATCACAAGGTGGGTATTGCTCAGCTGTACCTCTAATCTTTCATCATATGTAACCATGCTTTTAAAAATGCTTATCGAAAAAGTGATGATATGGTCCAATCGCAACTTCTCGGGCCTTCCCGACTAGCGGAAAAACGAGGTTGTTTTTCCGACCTCTGACGGAAAGACCCGAGATGATGCGATTGGATATGGTCATCACCACGTCAGGGGTCCCGAGTCAACTCGTTACCACGAACTCCGGGTCCCTGATGGGTGGCCATTCATTACTAAAAAAAGATGTCTGTGTAAAACTGACGCCTTCGTATGACAGTTTATGGTGAAGGTTGAATTTTCTCAAATACAAATCAACTCCAAGGTCAAAAGGCCAAAATTGTTGGTATTCAAAGGAAGGTCTGACATGTCATATGGAATAAACCTTTGAAATATGAAAGCTCTAGTATTAACTGTTCAAAAGTTTTGACCAAGGTCTAAAAGTTTTTTTAAAAAGTGGTTCAACTCTATGATCAAGGTCAAAAGGTCAAAATTATTTGTACCCATTGGTATACATGTAAACTTGTGAAGTATGAAAGCCCTAGCACCAAATTTTCAAAAGTTATGGTCGAGGTTAAATTTTTTTGTAAAAATGGGTCAATCTCTAGGGCCAAGAGGTCAAATTTAGAAGTACCCAAAGAGAGGCCTTGTCACAAGGAATATACATGTGAAATATGAAAGCCATAGCCCTACAACATGTAACTCAAAAGCTCTGAGCAAGGCTAAAAGTTTTGCGGACAAACAGACAGACGAACAGACAAGGCAAAAAATATATAATGCCCGAATCTTCAATATACATGTACCGGTAGGGAATCTACTTCTTTTGCTTCTCATGTAAGATACTGTAGTGAATGTATACAGAAATGATGTCTTACAGTTTTTTCCCTTCTCACAAAGATTTTCATAAGTTTCTCATTTAAAAATTTTAAAAAATGTAGCTGAAAATAGACATGATATCACAATAAAAACCCAACAAGGTATACAATTTCATATGTTGAATGCTCCGACTTTGATAATAATCAACTGTCATTAACATATATACATTTTGGACGTTTTGAAAACCCTAGTTTTAGAAAATCTGCCAAGAAACCGAATAAAACAAAGGAGTCGTTAACTTATTTATAAATATGTACGACAGTTGTTTTGTTTATTTCCATTGTGTAGTTATCTATTGTATCTACCGATTTATGGAGGAAAAACCATAAAAGTGTCCATTCTATTTGGAAAATATATATTCTTTTCATTGATCAAAACCTAACGTCTCACTGTGTCAAATCTGCTTTATGCTGTTCGTCAAACGTCCAGTACTTTAAAGTTTAAATACAAAAATTCATTCATAAAACCGATCACTTTCAGAGCATACGGACAGAATAAGATTTAATCTACACCGTATATTGCCAGATATTTTAAGAATGTGGAATCGTGGGTATAAAACAATGTTTATTCTTTACGTCTTTGATTTGTGTGACACTTGAAGATCAGCTGTTTATCAAAGCTTGTCAAGATAAGACTTGATTATTGGCAAAATGCGCATCATGGACTATCTTTCAGGTCGGTCCTATTATACCTCTGACATAACCCTTTAAAGAGGCAATGCACAATTTTCATTTATATGCACACACCACACCTATCATATACCAGGGAACCGTAACAAATGTAAAAATATTCAACAGCTTATTTAAAATCCTTTGGAATTAATGTGATACGTGGGAATTTAAGAATTCAATAAAAATGCAAAGTTCATCATATATTTTTTTTTTCATTTAAAAGAAAGATTTATATGTATAAATAAAACAATGAATGTGTGTAGAGAGACTTCATTAGCAGAATAAATCAATGAAAAAGTGGTTTAAATCTTTAAAGTCTTTAAATATTTGAAGCTAAAAAAGTATATAAACTTTTCTGATATTAATTCAAAGCATTTCACAGAATGAAAAAGGATTTACCTAGGGAAAATTCCAAAAAATTAATTAAATAAGCAGTAATTTATTAACAGAACTTGCATGGAGGTAAAAAAAAAATTATATGTTTTATATTGTGTTATTATATGAAATAGAAAACATGTTAACATTATTTTATTAATATGATAGTTTTAGGACAAATATTCAACAAAAATAGACATGCATTCCAGACTTGTAGTATAACAACTGGAAATACAGCTAATGTTATGTATTAAAATTCATTGTTTTTATTTTTTATAGACAAAACAATTTCTTCCATTTCGTGAAAATGAACTTCACCCAACAAACATTAAATATCTGAAAACATGTTGTAGACAAAATATAATCAAACAATTTCTAAAAACCATCTGTAAAATCAGTTTTTATTTTTTATTCAAACAGGTACCGAAGAACGAATAAAATTACATGATTGTTAGTAAAGAATAAAATATCAAATATACATTACAAGATTGTTGTATACATGTATATGCACTAACAATTATTGTCACGATTATTAAAATACAATAACTTGTTCATGTAAATGTTTTATATGAGGATCAGTTTGTAGCCTTTTTTTTTTATTTTTTCTACTTAAACAGGGATACGGGTTGTTCATGGATGCAATTGGGCGTGGGGCCCAGAAAGCAATACGAGAATGTCAGTACCAATTTCAATGGGATAGGTGGAACTGTGACATCACTTCCGCTCCACTGTTACAACGTGGGAAAACTAGAGGTACGCAGAGAAATCTCCTCACAGATCATTCACTCTCTAATTATACATTTGCATGCACACATATTTATGATCTGTGTATATATACACCTGTATACTAGTACTTCTCTACGAATCTTGAATTTCGCAACATATCTAAATACAACTTCTTCAAATATGAGAGATATTCCGAAATAATCAATGATGTCGGTGTATATTCAGTTTTATCTCACAAGATCTTGTGATCAATCAGTAATTTAGTTTGACTTTATACACGCCATCAGGATGAGAGCAGAATTTCCAAACACACTCCATGCTTTTTATAGTTTGACAAAGAGCACACAGCATGTCGGCCATTCCAGAAGACGCGACTAATCCAAATTCGTCTGGAAGTTGTTGACGCATGCAAGGATCCTCCGCTAAAATGAAGCAAATAATTATAATCTTTGAATGAAAAATCTTAGCGTTGAATTTCAATTTGACCAGCAAAATTTAGCAATACACATATAAATTGTAGAATTAAAGAACTATAGAGGTATTTACTAAGATTTATGAAAATGATTCGAACACACTTACCGCTGACTTCCGTTGAAAGCTGAGGAATAACATTGTTAAAGTCTGTTAGGGTGGGATCGCACCAGTAGTTGTTAATGTTAAGGGGATGTGAGGTATAAGAAGCAAAGAAAGGGTCCGAACTGACCGGAATCCATCCCTGGGGAGACTGAGTCCAGAAGACTGGGGGAGGGGGTCTTTGGTACATAGGTACACGAGTTTGGTAGTTGGGGTACATTGTCGTCTGATGGTAGTTTGTGAACAGGGGTGTCGGTGGATAGTTTGTGAATCCCGGATTATTGTATTGGTTAACGGGAACGAACCCTCGATTTCGGTCCCATGTGTAACGATTTCCGAACTTGTCCAAGTAAATACGCGTTGGAAAACTTTTCCTCAAATAACTTATCAGGAGAGCTGATTTTATTGCCTCAGGATTTTCCTGGAAGGCTTTCTCGAGACTTTTCCAGTACACGAACTTACTATCAGCATCATCTGAAATAAGAATTTTTATTTTTAATCATAGACAAAGAACAGATTGTGCTTTATTCTTCGGCTTGAATGGCATATTTATTTTTTTGAACATTCAAAAGTTTAAATTAACTACATGTACTAGTATATTTCAAAGCATTATCTGAAAACTGCAAACACGTACATGTTTATCTGACCCGATATATAATATGTTATATATGGAGTGTATGTGACGCACTATGAACCCCTTTGGCGATACACTGACACATCCAGTCTACTATAATTACATAAAGTTACACAGATATTTCATCGTGACTAAGCATGACAACAAAATAGAGTTCTTGCGCTCAAAATTATTGTTTTGAATATAGCAAAATTTTGTTACAATATCAATCTTTATTTTCGTTCAAATTATTTTCTAGTAATCAACATATATTTTACTATATTCACTGTGTCAATGTAAAACCAGAAGATCGTACCTCTAAATACCGGGTATATCTGGATACTAGTAATTAAAAGTAAAGGGGAAAGAGCGTTTCCTTGAGTGGCACCTAACATATTTTTTTTTTCTCTATTAAAAAGTTATGGAAATTGATAAAAACAAACCTGTTTGGCTGCTTATGTCTGGTATATACATGTTGTAACTGTATACACGAGCAGGTTCCGAGGCATTGTGGGTATTAACTCCACAAAACACGATCAAAATCACGATGTACAGCGTAGTAAAAGAAATTGCCATAGATAACAGTTTTCCTCATTGAAATCATCAACTTTCTCCATTTAAAAAGAGAGAATGGTCATATTTCTCTTTGTCCATATCCACTGGATCCCCAAAATCTTGAACTCCATATTGAGGGTATTATACTAAATCACGTGGTCTTCACCCTAATGATGTCTTAGGACATATTATTTAACATTTTCCGGAAATTACCTGAAGAGAACCGATTTATCATATAACTCCATATTAAAGTTAAATGAATATATTAAAAGTTGTAATTTCAATTAATTTTTCTGTTAAAATGCCCAGTACGGTACAAATATACATACATGTATATGTACCGAAACTGTTGCATGATATTTTTTAATGTTCAATATTTTCAAAATTCGATTCTAAGCAACGTTTCAAAACTTTAAATTTGTTTCTTAATTTTTCATTCTCCAATTTCAGCAACAAAAGAAACAGCCTTTGTTCAAGCAATTACTTCCGCTGGGGTCATGTACGCTTTGACCCGCCAATGTAGTTCCGGTTTCTATAATGTATGTAGTTGTGATGAATCCAAGCAAAGTGAAAGAGGTAAAAATCATGTAAAAAAAATAATTAATTGAGTAAAGTAAAAATCAAGTGCCCTTCAATTTATTTGTATTTAGTGTAATCCTCTGCAATTCAGAAGCCCTTATAAATGGAGAATCTCAGTTTGAGATTTAAGGGGAAAATGCTTTGTACCACATAGGGTTCCTTTGCTAAACGGAGAATGTGGGAGCTTCATTAAATGTAAGGTGATGAATCGTTTAATTTCAGGAGGGTACGACTGGAATTGGGGAGGCTGTAGTGATAATGTTAAAGTGGGAGGAAGAGTGACAAAGACTCTCTTAGATAATCTAGTGACAAAACGTGATGATGCAGCAGTGATGCATTTACATAACAACATGGCGGGAAGAAAGGTAATAAAAATAACTTAATATATAAAAATTCAAGTCAAACATGAAAAAATTATTTTCAAGAAAAAATATTGTCTTTGTACCAGTTTTTAATCATACCTGCGTTTTATTTTCCTTTTACAGGCAGTCACGAAGACAATGCGTGTAATGTGCAAGTGCCATGGCCCAACAGCCTCATGTACATTGAAAACGTGTTGGAAAGAATTGGCATCTTTCAGAAAAGTTGGACGCCACTTAAAGCAAAAATACCGTCATGCATTGCAGCTTGACCTGCAGGAGAAAATGAAAGACGAAAATGACCCCAGACGGCGCAGATTATTTCCGGTTCTGCCCGGAAGTAGCATGGTCTTTATTGAGGAATCGCTTAATTACTGTCAGGCTAACGAAGCCGAGGGAATTCTGGGAACACTAAATAGACAATGTTCTCGTCGTCATAAGACAAAGAGGGTTCCTGGCTCTGAACGGAAAAGCTGTAGAAATTTGTGTCGGATGTGCGGATATCGTGTGAAGAAAAGGGCTGTTGAGATGAACAGTACTTGTAACTGTAAATTCCAGTGGTGCTGTAATGTCAAGTGTGAGCCCTGTGTGGTCCATGAAGACAGATACTATTGCGTGATATAAAAGTGCCTTGTTTTCTGGATATCCGATTTTCTAAGGAAATAATGATTTGGGCAGCTTCATGCACATCCACCATTTCATATATTCTGTGAAATATTAACATTCTGGTGTTGACAGTACAAGTATTTCACACAGTGGTCGATGTGCTTTAGTTTCTCCGACTTTTAAAAAGTGACGTAACTATGCAAAGATTAAAGTCATGTCTTTGATCTTTATTTAAGTAAATCCAGGTTTTGAACGATAGAACATATACATGTATAAAATGGATATTTTTGAATTGATTATGATTGATAATTTTTCTTATGTCACAAAAAACAAATAATATTGAAACGAATAAACATAAATTCATGATGTAAAAAGTTATATAATTATGAGAAATTTGAAAAACTGACGTATGATAAATGATAGAAAAATATGATTATGGATATAATTATATACAAAGATTCTTCTACAACCATCACATAACGTGAAACTATAACAGTGATTTCCTGATGTTACCATCATGAAGTCCAAATTTAAACATTGTTTTTGTTCAGTATGAACTCGATATCTTGCAGTATCAACCAATTCTTATAGCATAAAATACAAAGGTTTATCTAATACATGAATTAATTACAGCTTCGGCACTTTAACATGTAGCTCGGCAAAGTGTCTCTGTTTCTCTTTATTGAACAGATAAAAACTCTTTTGATTATTTCAATCCGAAGACGATCTTTCCTCGTATACTGGATTCTCATAACTTATGTTTTTCTTGCCGTTGCGTTTTGGTTCATTGTGCAGATCACTAAGGATATTGATTTCGGATTCACGCCTGTTATCGGGAATAGTGGAAATCACTGAATTTCTCATGACGCCATTTGAATTTGTCAAAATCCGTTTCCGTCGAAAAATGTTATTAATGAGGCCTTTGAGTCCGTTTCTGAAATTGTCGTTTAGTCCTCCATACAAAACAGGGTTTAGTGCGCTGTTCGTATAAAGTAATGTTACGGCCGCAAAGTAGAAAGGATTGTACCAGTCTGGTAGCTACAAATTCAAAAAAAAAACAAAAAAACTATACATGCACATGGATGTTCTTTTTAATTAACTAGTTATTGACTTCCAATATCAAGTTAAATTGACTACAAGTAGTGACTTTCATTGTGCAGTGAGCAATAAGAAAAAAATGCATATTGGCACTCCCAAGATCTACCTCGAAGATTACCATGACCTTTGCCCTCCTTGGACTTATCAAAATTTAGCTGAACTTGAAACATCTTATGAGACTGTTGCTTCATTGTCGAAATGGAGGTGTTTTATGAGATTTTATATAGAGAATAATACATACCCTTTTCCATATCACATCCTGTATCAGCCCGAGACACCAATATCAGCCCGCGGGCCGAAGGCCCGAGGGCTGATATTGGTCGAGGGCTGATACAGGATGTGATGTGGAAAAGGGTATGTTTTATTATATTTAAACATACTTAGTAATAAAATACAGAACACATTCAGTTGAGAAGAAAATAAGTTAATAATCATGCATGGACTTCTTGCATACATGTACATAGTCTAATATCTCTTAAGATTTGGGTTTGTTTCTACTTCTATTTCAATGCACTTGATCCGTAATTTGAAAATATTCTATAGTATTACATGTATTTGTAAATTAAGATTAACCTTATTTTCAAAAAGTTAAAATTAAGAGAATATGAACCCACCAAAAATTGTGTATGATCACAAGTATTGTTATTGTGGTTTAATTTAAAAATATTGACGTCACAATAGCCGTATCAGCCCTGCAGGGCTGATATAATTTGCAGGGCTGATACGGATATATCCCATCAAATCCATATCAGCCCTGCAGGGTTGAAGGTTTATGACGTGTGCCATATCGCATATGCAAAAAACCTGTATTTATTACTAAGTGTGTAATAAATACTAGTAATTATTTCTTTAAAAAAAAATCAAAATTGACTTACGCTTTCTGAGGTATCATCTCTAAAGAACTCGAAAAGCTTTGTGACTTGAAATGGACCCACACAGAAGATAAAAACAACCAGAATAGCAAACAGCATCTTAACAACCTACAAACAAATCAGTCATTATCAAACATGTTAATATTTATTTTTGGAGAATGGGACACACCACCATTTCTCTAAGTGAAAAAAAACTGTATTGAAATCGGATCCAGTCTTTCGTTATTTGTATACTTAAGAATCAGTTATAACGTATTTCGGTTTTCAATCAGGGAGAAATTAGTGTCGAGTAATCAATCTTCAGAATAAATCATGCTATTTAAAAGTTAATGCTTACTGGCTTTTCTGAAAACTGTCCATAAATCAAGGTTGTCGGAAGAGTAAGCGTGCTATTCATTTATCATAAAAAGTAGTGGCTTGAAGGAGGGGATACTCTAGGTCCCTTCCAGAACCTCCCCGCAGCCTTTTATCTTAACGGTCAAATAACTTTAACTTTAAAGTACACGCCGCTTTTTTCTATGTATAAAAAATGATCACACTTTTTTGAGAATCGTACAAAAACATCTTATATAACTACAAACGTCGCATAAATATGCCGACTTTTCCGTTAAAAGTAAAGAAACATGTTTGATTTTGTACTTCAAAAGTCTATGAATTGTGTTTGGTTATACTAGTGGACAGAATAACTCAATATGTCATAAATTTCAACTTCGGGTGTATTACATAGGTCTGCCACTAATAAAAATACAATTGGAGAGTTCTCATGTTGAAGTATTGCTGCCATATTTCATGAAAGGAGGTGGCGAAAATGTACTTTACGTAAACAAAATTTATTTCTATTTGTTCGTCATTGGAATTTAACAGAGATAACAATTTTATTAAAGGAAATTAATTTTCATTTCAAACATTACAAATAATTATTTTAAGTACTAGGGCTTAGAATGAATGTGGTGTGTATCACAAAATGAAAAAAAAATATATCAGTTGTTCCTTTTTATTTCATTGCAAAAATACCTTTTTCTTCGATCTTTGTTGGACGACGGACATGGAAAGTCTCCCGGTTTTAGAAACTCTTCGAGTTTTTCTTAATTTTATGAATATTACGGTATAAGCAATCATCATCAAAAGCATGGGAACCCAGTTTAAGACCACCAGCAAACAAATCCAGTAAGCTTTCCGTGAACTCTTTCCTTGATCACAAGTTCCATCACTCTGTAAAACCTGGGGCCAGACCTCTGTGCAGTATTTTTCAACGAAATTTTTCCACGGCCTTTCCATGTAAGCATAAAAGAAAAGAACCGGAAGTGCAATTGCTATGGCAGCCAACCATATGACAATGATGATCACGCTCACTTTTCTCTGTGTCGCACGTGATTTTAACGGGAATACTATGGCAAAGAACCTGTCTCCTGCAATTGCAACTAGCGTGAACACACTAGCACACATAGCTGTGACTGAAATTGAAAAAAAAAATCAATTAATTTTCCATTTTATGTGATGTTTTATAGGTTCAAATCCATTTTTTTGTAAAGATACATGTTGAAGGTTTGGAAAAACAGATGATCTGTCAATCGAACCTAAGTTGAATGCTTAAGTATTTATAAATTTTGATGTATGTTACAAAAAGTGATGACAATAGCTTGGTGGGACACACTTCAGTCAAACCGGTTGCAAAGCTTGATACTATAACATTCTCCTATAGGAGAAGAAACATCTTTCTCTTCGCATCCCTTTGTGCATGTTTCAGTTTTTATTATGAATCTTGAATTTCCAAATATGGGGAGAGTTTTCTACCTTTCTTAATTTTGAATACATGCGATATATTATTTTCCCTTTTCATCTTCATACACTGCACTTTAATGCATTAAAATACGTGTACTCAATGTAAGGATTATTAAATTTGTGAAATTTAATATAGATTAAGAAGACCGTCTACGATTCCGTTGGACACTGAATCGAGGTAGGAGATATTGTATTTTGAAAATATTTCTATCCTGTCGTTTTAATTTAATTTTTTTCATATTTTTTGATGACTATCATTTAAAACAAAACCGAAAAAGAGAAACTGAAATGAAGGGGAAAAACATAATAATTGACTGAAATGGTGTTTATAATCAGCCTTTTGTCTGTGTTGGAGATTTATTCTTCCAAGAATCATTCACGCATGGTGTAGAAGTGTAGGTGTAACTGTTTCATCTTCTTCATCATTAACTATTTCAGCAATGCTTTTTTGTGATTTTCATTAAAAAGTTACATTTAATCAAGTTTTTTCGTTACCCTTACATATATAGGAGTACGAAACAAAGTTCCATTTTCGCTTCACAAAATCTCTATAATTTAAATGTAATATTTAATTTTATTATCAGTGAATATTATAGTTTTCGCCTACTTTCGGAACTTTTTTTTTGAGTTAAACAGATGGAAAGGACAAGGAAAAAAGTCTAACCGATAAAAATATAAAGATTTTGAGTTTATCTGTTTTCACTTAATTATTAAAACAATTTTGTTTTATAATAGTTGTATCGACTTACTTTGCAGGAATGGATTGAACTTGCAGAGAAAACTTCCAAGAACCCATCCCTGAGTCAAATCGTCCACAAGGTGAATCCAAATGGCGAAAAGTCCTACCAACATGTCAGAAATGGCCAAATTCAGGATGTAGTAATTCGTGACATTCCGCATTTTTGGAGACTGCACAATGATGATGATCATGAGGAGGTTTCCAACGATTGCCACTAATTCTATGCTTACACATATTGTGATTTTAATCCCCATTTCCCATCCGGGAACTTCCTTTATTTCCCCTATGTATTCTACTTCAGAAAGGTCCGGCATCTGAACTTTGGCGTTACAATCCTTATCCATGTTTTAACCCAAGGTTTTTCTTAAAACTGTACACAGCTTTTACTTAATGGAAGATGCACATTATATCATGGAGACATTTTTCTTATGTTCACGTTCTGTTTCTATCTTTCACTAATTCGGAATGAGAACAAACATCGAAAATAATTTTATGTTGTTCACAAACTAATATGCTGATGAGTGTAAATACAGACCCTCTCAAAGCGAAGACTTAGGCAATAAATCGACCCTTTAAACATTCATATTTTCCACTCTACATGCGTTTTTCAGTTTCCCTTAAAACGGTAGGATTTTTATAGGGTCAATTTCGTCATTTGATGTTGCCTTTTTAGATCCCTTTCGCAAAATTTAATGTCCTTTCAAGATTTTGGACAACATTTGTTCTCCTCAAAAAGCTATGATATTTCCAATTTTGCTTACTTCTTCCTGCTTTGTAGGGTCACACACACGATTTGACGGATCAAGTTGTATTCATTCATTCCGCATCAAGAGAAATATTACAAAGTTGAAAATTGAGTAAAAAATCGTGATTTCCTATACAAGAAAAAAAAAATCTCGGAGTAAAAATGTCAACTGTAATCCTAAATTTTCATTGTCATAGACCTTGTTTGTGCAAACAATATTTATTACACGAAGAGGAGAGAGTAGTGCCATTCATTGGCCGTACATACAGACCCACGTGTGAACAATGAAATGTGTATATGACTGTACTTGAAGTCTTTAGAACGATTTATCGCCACTCAACTAGCTCCTTGCATTCAGATAATCCATACTGTTCCAGGGAATCTGTGTAAACGGTCCAAAATCAACATGGCACCCATAGTCGTCTGCATCTCTCTCCTTGAAATGGGACACCGGAAATGTTTGTATCTTCATTTCGAAAGTATCGTTAACGACAAAAAATATGATAAATTGTCATGGTATCCATCACTTACTGATAATCGACACTTAACCTGATTAAGATACAATAAGGATAATTCATATGGCTATAAAACATTTTCCTTGGAATTTAAAGGTGCCTGGAAACAAATTTGAAGTTAATATTTTCTCAAATTTCCGGTTTCATATCTTGATTTTTATGTTGCTGTAGCATTTTCCATGGAAATATAATAACAAACATTTTACCGGGAAATCATTGAAACTTCCAATTTTGGGATTTATTTGATTTGCACATCCTTGCACTTGCACGTTTGAAAATAAACTTTACCCTAAAAACTGTGAATTGTAGCTCTCTCCAGAAAATATTGGAATATTAAAAAATCAGTTTGAGCTTCGAAATTTAGAAATTTGAAAATAATACGTGTGTATATTATAATACGTGTGTATATTAAAATTCTTTAACTCTAAATCATTTTAGAAATTTGAATTGTAACGAGGACCATATTTGATCCCTTGGACATAGAAAGTATTGGAAATTGTAAAGTATTGAGAACGTTAATTGTTTCCATCCGGAAAGGCACATTAGGGTGGGAAAGAGGTATTTTCTTATGCCCGTTTTATTGTAGTCCAAACTTGACTAATGTTGCTGCAACTCAAAAATCTATTTTTGTAATGATAACAAAAACATGATTAATTGATAAATACATTTTTTGATAGATGGTAAATGGACGATTTATACATTAATATGTTAAAGATAAGTCTTATAAATGCACAGTATGATCATCATTTAATTTAAAGCCCAAAATTTTCTTGATTCTCCTTTGCTTTTTCTTCAGATGCCTGAAATGAAAGGAAGATATGTCATTAATTATATAATTATGCTTCTAGAGTTTTATTTTTATTTTTAATAATGACATAAAAAACAATTTCAAAAAAAAATTACATATACATGTATGATAAACTTGCCTTTGTAACAATTCATGGGTTTATGTATTCCAGTTATGCAAGTCGGCCTTTGAGGATCTGTGATTGTCTGAAGCAAATCAAATGACCGTAAACAACACTATATAAGTAAGCGCAGCTAAGCTGTTGGGTTTCTTTTAGTCCGATTGCCAGACGGAGGAAGACGCATATATCGGCAATATAGTTAGTTGGGTGGGTGGCCTAGTACTACTGAGGCTTACCGAAATCATTTGACAATACTAGTAGGTGGATTGCCTATCAGCAAAGGCTTGCCACAATAAAGAAGAAGGTATGGTTTCCATACAAATTTTGCCCTGTGATTTTCTAAAAAAATGAAACTGGTGTAAAAGTTGAAAACTCATGCTTTTTAAATAATTGAAATTCAATGCAGAAAAATCATACAAGTCATTTTTCTCACATGTGTTTTTTTATGCTAACTACGTCATAAACATGTGCATTTTCCCGTATTTTCTTAAAAAGTTGCAGAAGACACCAATTTTCAATGGAATTTTCTTTCAGATAACATTGTCCACAGGCATCGCCCACAAAGATCTTGAGATATGTGATTTGTTATTAAAATTTGCACAAAATATCAAAAAATTAAAGTGGGCGACGGCTGTGGACACTGTTTTCTAAAGGAAAATCATCCTTGAAATGTGCCATTTTGAGGCTTTTTCTGTTGAAAATAGAGAAATGCTTCACATTAATGACATATTTGCAGAATGGTAAACCTTCATGCCACATTCTTTCCTGATTTATCAGAGTCATTTATTTAACTAATATTTAAGCTAGTTTCAAACCTTTTTAATATCATTACATTTTAGGGCGCAATAAAGCTAAAACCATACCTTCTTCTTAGTAGTATTGGTGTGTGACTAACCATTTAGAGGTCGACCATAGAGGGATGTCAACCCTCAAAGGTTCATCTGGTAACCTTTCTAGTGTAAGTCTCTGATAGCGGTGGATGACTGTGCGTCCTGAATAAGGACAACTCAGGATATCTTCTTCTGTCGAGGCTGACCACTAGTAGTATAGGTTAGGACTTAACATCGTGACAGACACTACGATCCCGAATAAGGCATAAATGGTATCTGTCCGGTGCAGTTGTGAACCTCATTATGAGGCCGACATCCAAGTGTAATTTCCCCCAAGTAAGGGAAGGGCCATATTTGTATATATTTGCAGGCCACTCATTTTATCCAATTACCTGGTAAAAACTTCTCTCTGAGGACAAGGCACAGGAAAAGACAGAACAGCCTCAGAAACTTCTGCTATGGGAAAAGGCAAAGGAATGGACAGAGCAGCCTCAGAAACATCTCCCAAGGGACAAAGCACAGGAAAAGACAGAAAAGCATCAGAAACCTCTGTCAAAGGACAAGGCACATGAAAAGACAGAACAGCCTGAAAAACTTCTGTCTCAAAGTTCTGACTTTTCCTGTGCCTTGTCCTCCGAGAGAAGTTTCTGAGGCTGTTCTGTCCTTTCCTGTGCCTTGTCCTCAGAGAGAAGTTTCTGAGGCTGTTCTGACATTTCCAGTGCCTTGTCCCCTAAGGGAAGTTTCTGAAGCTGTTCTGTCTTTTCCTGTGCCTTTTCCTCCGAGAGAAGTTTCTGAGGCTGTTATGTCCTTTCTTGTGCATTGTGCAATACATGGCCCCAGGTTCAGGGGCCTTGTGCTAGGGCGGGGCTATATAGATTATATAGTGAAAATGCATTTTTTTTTAATCTTCTCTGCCTCTGGGTATTAAACAAACTAAACACATATTTATGATAAGGATGGGTGCCTCTTTTAAATTGTGAATTTCATGGCCTCTGGTTCAGGGGTTCTGGTGTTAGGGCTAAGCTTAATTGATTAATTCGATATTATGCATTGATTCTTTGAAATATTCTTCTCTACTTCTGTGTATTAAACAAACGAACTACACAGTACATACATAATTCTGATGAACAAGGGTGCCTTTTCTAAAATATATGAATTTCATCGCCCCAGGCACAGGGGTTCTGGTGTTATGGCAAAGCTATATAAATTATATAGTAAAAAAGCATTAATTCTTTGAAAATTTTCTTCTCTGCTCTTGGGGATTAAACAAACTTACTGTATACATAGTTCCTTCTAAAATTATGAATTGCACCAAGGTCAGTAGTTCTGGTATTAGGGCCGGGCGCCATGGATTATAAAGTGAATCTGCCTTCATTTTTTGAAAATCTAGCTTCCTCTCTGCTCCTGGGTATTGAACAAACTAATGACATACCTGATACATAGCTAAGGAAAGGAGCATCTTTTTGAAATTGTGAATTTCATGGCCCCAGGGTTAGGGGTTCTGGTGTTAGAGCAGGGCTATATAAATCATATAGTGAAAATACATTAATTCTTCGAAAATCTTATTCTCTGCTTCTGGGATTAAACAAGCTTACTATATACATAGTTATGATAAGTAAGGGAGCCTCTTCTAAACATTATTAGTTTTATGGCCCAAGGGTCAGGGAATTTGGTGTTAAGGTGGGGCTCTATGGATTATAGTGAAAGTGCCTTAATTCTTTGAAAACCTTCTTCTTTGCTACGGGTATTAAACAAAATAACAACATATATACAATATTATGATAAGGAAGGGTATTGCCTTTTCAGAATTGTGAATTAAGTGACCCCAGGGTCAGGGGTATTGAGTAACCAAACGTAGCATACTAAGTGTATATATGACGAGAAATGATGCCTCTTTAAAAATTGTAAATGCCATGACCTCTGATTTAAAACATAATGTCATAAACAAGCTCAAGTGAGCTTTTCTGATCACCCGTTGTCTGTCGTCTCTTTGTACACATTTCACATTTTTAACTTCTTTGAAAGTGTGTGAGTTAATAGTCTAAACATTTATATTGTCCATGTTAGTGAAGGAATGAATGTCTTCATAAGTCAATATTTTAAATGATAATAAAAATCACACTCAATAAATATATTATTTAATAGATGAAGATAGAATTTAACAATAACATTGGTAAATGGATGAATTATTATTACATTTGTCCGTTGAAGATTAGTCTTATGAATGCACAATATGATAGTCATTTCATCTAAAACCAAACAAATTCTTGATTCTTCTGCGAAGATTTTTCTTGGGAGATACAGATGCCTGAAATGAAAAAAAAAAGGAATTATAATTTACATAATCTTGCATCATCAGTACATTTGGGGGGATGATGATGATGATGAAAAAATGCCAATTAAATACACTAAAAACTTGCCTTTCTTTCTTCAGAGGTAAACGTAGGAGGTGGAGGAAGATCATTCACTGCATTAGGAGCACTGTGTGTTTCTATGGTTGTTTCAATCAGTCGATATCTTGTCTCATCAGTCTACATCAACAGAAAAAATTAAGTTTTTCATAATGAAATTCATCATCGAATACTACAGAATCTTAATCTGATGAACAATGTTCAATTATGTTGACAAATCATGTTATAGAAAAAAAAATGAATATCTTTTTATGCAAGTTTTATGTCAACATATTTAGATACCAAAGTGTCAACTTTGGTTGTTAAGAAAAATTCATTTTGATTATAAATATATGTGTATATACTTTAACTTTTTCAACAGCCTGAAGCAGGTATTAAAACACATAATTCTGAGAACTACGTCTTCAAATAAGATATGTAGTCTGAAGTTTCCCATATGACTTTTACATGAAACTTTAAGACTTGCCCAGTATATAAACAAACAATTACCTTGAATTCAGTTATCCCGAATAGAAAAAGTCTCCTCGGAATGAAGTGGTCCTCATTTTCAACATTATCATTGACCAGTGGCTGTAAGAGACGTAAGTTGATTTTTCTAATAGATATATTTATGTACATTAATTAACAAAGCAAAACATATAAATGACATGTTCATTACATTTATTTCACTATTTAACTTTTCAAAATACTTGAGATTGATAAATTACAACAGTCATGTTTTTCACCAAAGACCCACAGGTCTAAGTTTTGATCACCAATGATTTTTCTCATTTTTGTCAATTCAATATTACATAAGTTATCTTGCATAAGAAAACCAAATCTTCCAACATTTTAAAATTACATGTATGGTTTTAACTAGGCCAATTTAATAGATTTTTACCTGTAAGTCACTTGATTGTCTTCCATTTTGATGCACTTCTAACTCGTCTACTTTTGTCTCCGTCTCTGACTTCTTAAAATTAAGAAGTTCTTGTGGAATGCTGTATGAAATAAGAAGTTTTGTTCAGAACTCATCAAGGCATTTAACGATTTAAAAAAAAATATACATAATAAAGATCAAAGAAATTAAAATTACCAGTATACAAAATTACATATTCATTAAATTTATCAGACTTCTAGATCACGGAAACATTTGTAAAGATTCACATGTAACAGAGGAGACACAGTACCTAAAATTGCCATCTATCTTTGCCTGTGCTTTATCCTCTGAGACAAACCCAAACTGTTCTTTCTTCTCCTGAATCTTGTCCACTGAGAAACGTTTCAGAAGCTGTTCTGTCTTTTGTGTCGTGTCTCTTGGACAAAAATCCTGAAACTGATCTATATTTTCCAGTGCTTTGTCCATTGAGAGGCCTTTACAATCCTGTTTTGTCTTTTCCTGTTCCTTGTTATTTATGAGAAGTTCTGTCTTTTGCAGTGCCATGTCCTTAGGGAGAATGTCCTGATCTTTTCCTGTCCTCTTTGCCTGGTCCTCTTTTGACTCCATCTTTGCAATTGTTTTCTGGGCAGTTTTCTCCATGTTTTCTTCTGATTTGACTGTTTGTGATTTGGCCTCCTGTATAATACAATGTCAAACAAATATTAAGTTTATCCATAACCATATTTTATCATAATATAATGCCTTGAAAACATATTAATAATACTATAATTATTCATGGACTTTTTATATGTTTCACAAAAATTAGAGTGCCTTTGTACCTAAAAAGACTGCAAAAATTACTAAATGTATATGTAGTATTTTTTCTAACAAATAACATTCTGTTGAATGTAATATGTGTTTATTTTTTATTTCTCTTACGTTTTTTTGACGAATATCAAACAGTAAATTTGAAATTATCTTGATGTATCCCTGGATATTACAGACAAGTAAAAATTTTAAGTATTTATACACATCTACAGTAAAATTCAGTTATAACAAAGGCACTGGGTCCTATGAAATTACTTCGCTATATCTGTAATTTGATATATTGGGTATAAGAAATTTGTTACATTTATATAACTGGGGATGCAAGATAACTTCGGTATGAATTCGCAATATCTGTGTTAGTACTAAATGAATTTAATTGTTTTACCTTAATTCTTCTTTCATGTTCTTCAACTTCTTTTGCCCAACTATAGGAGAACTTTAAAATGTCTAGCTTAGCATCCTGCAAATATAATTCAAAATGTATAAAAAAAATCAATATACATGTAAAACTTGATATTCCAAAACATGAAGTTAACCAAAACCTGCAGTTATTATTTAAGTGTACTCACTATATTCTTAACAGGCTCCTCTCCAAAATCCAAAATTGTCTCTCTGCAAAGAAAATATTAAAGACTGAGCTCGAGGTAAGTATCAAAATGTTTGGTTGGTATTTTACGTAAAAAGATTTGCTTTGGCAATTTTAGTCTAAAAAGTAGGTAAATTTTTCGCGATATTATAGTTAGAGTCAAAGGCCTACCTGATCTTACTGCCCTCGTCTGGTATCAAGTTATTCAGTACTGTGACCTCTCTTTGTATCAATGCCTCCTTTTTTGCCAAAATCTCCTAAAAAATAAGTTTAAAAAAAATAAATTACATAGTTACAGGATAAACAATGTACATAATTATTTAATTGATAATGATTATTCTTTGGTTGTTAATATTTGTAAGGAATAATCAATGGTTTCTTTTTTCATTAAAAATTACAATATATGTATATGTATTAATTGTAACATAAATGTAAAACATTCTGTGTGTCAGAAGCATAATACAATGAGCTGATGTGTCTTAAACTTTTACCTCAGTCAATCTCTCCTCTTTCTCAACTTCATCAGCCCAGCTGTACGTAAACTTTAAGATGGCTAATTTTGCATCCTAAAATTAATATAATACATGAATACAATTGCTGTCTACAATGTACATAATGAGATAGCTACATTATAATTCAAGTACATGCATTTCTATTCAATGCAGAATACAATGTTTATACAAAAAATGAGACGTCATAGTTCATTTATCTGCACTTTGTAGTTTAGAATTCAAGAAATATGACGACTAATTGTAAAGTTAATTCATAAGTTTGTCCATACAATAAAACGGTCAATACAGATGGCATCATGGTAATGATTTCTAAATTTCTTAAAAACAATGGAAAATATTCGAAATATCTTCAAAATATTTTTTTTGAAACAGGGTCAAAGATTAGAATATCGCCTATCATTTTATCGTTGGAACAAAGAGTTCTATAATAATTATAAAAAGAACCCCCCCTCTTGGAGACCATTTTATCCGTGGACATTCTCAGAACTTAAGTCCATAGTAGGAATATAAAACACCTTTAATGCCTTCTCTAGTGAACAGTATGTTGGTTTCTCTTTTCATCATATAATTTCATAATACAACATGTTATTCCATAGCATGAGGTCTATTTTTTAAAGCGGCACTTACTATATTTTCAACAGGCTCCACTCCAAAATCCAAAATTGTCTCTCTGCTAAAAAAAAATTTTTAAATTGTGGAAATATAAACATGTATGTGTTTTTAACGTAAACAGACTTTTTTGGCATCTTTGGTCTAAAATGTAAGATTAATTTTTGCGATATTAGAGTTACTGTCAAAGGCCTACCTGGTCTCACTGCCCTTGTCTGACATCACATGATTCAGTTCTGTGTCCTCGCTTTGTCCCAGTGCTTGCTTTTCAGCCTCGAGCTCCTAAAAGATAATATTCAAATTTTAAAAAGTTACATAGTTACAAAACAAATACCGTATATATTTATGTAATAATTAATGATTTTTTTGGGGTTGTTGTTAATTTTTTCTAGAAATTATCAAATGGTTCTTTTTCACTAAAGATTAGGAATTAACAATATAATTATATGTATTAATTAATGTAACATTCATGTAAAACGTTTCTGTGGATCACAAGTATAATACAACGAGCTGGTGTATCTTCAACATTTACCTCAATCAATCTCTCCTCCTTCTCAACTTCATCAGCCCAGCTGTACGTGAACTTTAATATGGCTAATTTTGCATCCTAAAATAAATATAATATACAATTGATATTTACAGGGTATGTTATGAAATAACTACATTATAATTCAAGTATTTTAAATGTTCAATATAATATACACAATATACGAAAGATGAGACGTCATAGTTCATTTATTTGCATTTTGTAGCTTAGAGTTAAGGAAACATGGAATAAATATCCTATGACGATTAGTTGTAAAGTTCATTAAGATGACCATACTTTAATAGCCAGATGGCATCATGGTAATGATTTCTATTTTTTCTTAAACAGAGGAAAATAATTTCAGCATAAATTTACTAAAACAGGATTAAAAATTATAATATGTTCCAATGATAAAATGATAGGCAATAATATAAATATACTCACCACATCCTTTACTGCATCGACTCCAACATCTAACATCTCCATGACTTTCTATAAAGTTGTTATAAAAAAAAAATATGAATAATCTTAAGTTTTAGGCTACAGCGAGGAAACGACAGCAATGAAATGTTGTAGTTATGCAAACAACGTTACCTCCGACATCTTTACACAAGTTTTGTTGTGGTGACAATTGTTTCGTCACGTTAATTGTTACGTTGAATATTCTGTGTATCATTATGACGTCATACACAGTCTCTTTCTCATCAGTTGATAGCGTTATAAGATGAAACCGCTAAAATTGAATAGAAAGAAATAAAATCATTTCTTTGTTCTTTTATAAGATAATGTGAAAGTTATTTATTTTTGGGTTGACCAATCTGGTAAAGAATTGTCTGAACTTGTTTCTTCCTTCTGAAAGGTTTTTTTTTTTCAAATGAAATATAAGCAAATCGTAATACAGTACCTGTTATAAAAAAAAATTTACTTTATTGTTTATGAAAACCTCTTTACGAAAATCTTATTTCGGGCAAGGGGGTGGCGAAGAAATTTAATGTAGTGGATTCTTGATTATGGGACTAAATTACAACATAACCCTTTTAATATGTTTGCAAAAAAAACTCCTCCAGAAATCAAACTGTCTTCGATGAACGATTTTGAACAACAAAAAAATAATATTTAAGAAAATTGCATATACATGTAAATCTGTCTTTGAAACATTGAATTCTTTGCTCTTGGAAAACATAGCAGTTTTTATCAGTACATCAATGGTAAACTTTTAAAATTATATACAATAATTAATTTATATTGTTAAACTGTTATTCAATACAAAATGAAATCACACTATAATGGACGTTCTTTAAAGACACTGGATTTTTGGGTTTCTTGATCCGATATAAATACCTGTTTATTAGAGAGTGTAAAAACAGACCACAAAAATGTCAGGTAAAAATCGATATGTTCATATGGGGGATCAAATAATAATTAGTCCTAATTGTTATATTCTTTTTTACAGAGGTTGATTAAAAACAATAATATTTGAAAAAATGGTAACAAACCACAAGTTTTCTCTCTTAAAAACTTAGAGACTAGAAATCAAAATAAATTAAGTTGTTTGATATAACTGTATTAAACTTTCCTGGACATTTTTAGATTTTTACATAATTGAAAGGATTTATATATTGAAAATACTACAAATGTACATCTTTTTGATTATGTTTTGTATCAATTTTGAAAAGATTTTCAATATGTTCTAATTTTAACTATCTCTCATTGAAATCTTATGAGTTACAGAACATTACAAATTTAAATACAAGTTGAAGTATATATATATTTTTTTTCAGAAACATCAAGTATATACTGTATTTATAGCTACAATTATAAAATCTTTCCTATTAATTTTTGTTTTACAGAAAATCACCTCTATTTTAGGAAACATAAAGTCGATATGCATTTTAGATTCTATAAATAATAATTCAAGTCTATATGCTGTTATATACTAAATCATGTGACCAAGTTTAAGCCAATCAGAGAGCTTGGAATATATGATTAAAATTATATTGAAGCTTTTATTTTCACTCTAGTTTACTGATTCTTAATCATTCATTTATAATGCAGTGTCTCGAATAGCCCTTGTTTTCCAGCTTCTCACAATGAAACTTAACTATGTGATGAAAAGTGGTCATATAAATTGGTATAAATTCATTAAAGATTCAATAATGAGAGAAAGTCAAGTTTATTGTCATATGATATCTGTATTGCATGTCATACAGTTCAGGACATTATTTATTGAACTGCAGCCCTCGTATAGATGTGTTTGACGGGAAAATTTTTATATTTTTGAGATATTATACACTCTTACATTTTTTTTCATAAAGGGGGGGGGGTATTATCCATACTTCAGGTGCCTGTGGTCACAGTTCAGATTAATATTTTTCTTACCTGTCTAAAATTTAACCAGTGTATTAATTGGTCTATAAATTTTTACGTAAAGTCAATTAAAAACTTTGAACAGTTAAAGTTACGAGCCTGTTTTGTTTTTGTTCCTGAGGTGGGAAAGGTATTAGTTTTTTTCAGTGAGCTATAAGCAAATCGTAATACAGTACCTGTTCGAATAAACATTAAATTCAGGGACTTAGTATTGTTTATGAAAGGGGAGATTTGCCTAACTCGAAAATCTTATTTCGTGGGAAGGGGGTGGCGGGTGGAGGCTTCTTTTAGGACTAAATTACAACATAACCCTAATTCAATAATATACTGCAACAAAAAAGTGGGGGAACGTACGACCTTTTAATGAACGTTTTCTATGATAAGAAAGTATTGTTTGGTATAATGTAGATTCCATCCTTGCCACATTGATACTACTGCCGGAAAACATAGCAACACAGTAAGTAAGGGGAAACTTTTAGAATTATGTACATTAATTAATTTATATTGTTAAACTGTTATTCAATACAAAATGAAATCACACTATAATATACAGACGTTTTGGATTTTTGGGTTTCTTGCTCCGATATAAATACCTCTTTATGAGAGAGTGTAAAAACAGACCACAAAAATGTCAGGTAAAAATTGTGTTCATATCGTGGGGATCAAATAATAATTATGTCCTTTGTAATGGATCATTCCTTTGAAATATAGGTTTATGGGAGCGGACTAATTTTATCAGAAGGGGTCGGGTGGGTGAAAAGGGGGAGGATACTTTTTGGCTTGTTTCTGATTCCCTGGCTCCCTCAATCAAGATAATGACTTTCAGATGGTCTCATTACAGTTAATTGAAAGTACTTTTATATATTGAAGATTGATATTCGTATTGGATATTTATTGATTAAAAGAAAATTTTAATGGTTTAATTTTAACATCTCTCTTGAAATCCTTGAAAAATCAGGCACGTAGAAATATATAGGAAAAATCTTTTTTTGAACATTACTTTTACTATTAAATGTTCATTGAAAGACTGGGCCCCCCCCCCCCCCACTTTATACTACAGGAAATTGATATCAGCGAAATGTGGTACTGAGTGCAAAAAAATTCATATTGGTTCTGAAAGAAGTTGTCAGTGGAAAAAGTTGGTCTCTAACCCCCCACCCCCACCCCACGAAATAGAATTTTGGAGTTTGGGCAGTTTTCTTTTCTCTTTCTTTTTCTTTTTTTTTTTTTTTTTTTTTGCTTTTCAACTTTTTCAGGTAAGTCAAAAAAATGTTTTTTTTCTCTGGCTGCCCCCCCCCCCCCCACTTTCAAAAACGATGCTACGTGGCTGAAAATGAAGAGTTCAGATTTTTGCAACAACGAAAACCCTGAAATCTCAGAACTTATATAAAATATATACGCGTTATCTTTTAATTTATTTTTATCTTGATTTATGGACGTACATGTGATATGCAATTTAAAAGTAAAAGGGTCAATTATTGCAACCATGCAGTAATAAATTTCATAAGAATTAGTTTATGAGTGTTCCCTTGCTTCGGCCTGGAATGCGATATAATGCACATCATTGCTGTCGCAGGAAGGATAACAATAGTATCGTATTTCGTACCCTGATAACAAGCACAATAGCTATTTCATTTTAAATTTTGTCGAAAATTACAATACCTTTTTTTTCTTATCCCGTGGGTTACCAATAGATCAATAATTGAATTGTTTACATGTGTTGCATTTTTGAAGGGGGTTGCAAAGTTTTGTATTAAAAACACAGGCATTTGATGGATTTAAAGGGGAAGAAAACGCTAGATGCGCGACTTCAAATGTGATCACGCAAATCAAATTGAGACTATTGGCAGATGTGTATTGACGTGAAATTAACAAGGAATGTTACGTGTCCTTTTTGTTTATTTCCCGGCAACATTAAGAGGATCGAAGTACACATGATGTACATGGAAGTCCACTCAGCAAAATGGGGAGTCCGGAATTAACCATGTCGTAAGAACTACAATAGGGTCAAAGGGCATTCGATAATATAGTCATCTTACCTGTGCAATCGGTAATATGTTTATATAGGTATATTAATAAACATGCACTGTTTGTGTTTATTTATACCGATGTATAAGGACTAACGCCTCCCGTGAAAGAAAGATGTGAAATGAAACTGTGTAAATGAAAGTTGATGGATTTAGTTCTAAGAAGGATGAAATTGGATTTCAATGGCTGAAGGGGAGGCTAATTTAGCCAGGGGTAAAACTATGATTGAGAGAAAGGACGGGCCTCCCCCGGGGAGGGAGAGAGAACCCCCAGCCCACGACAGCAGCAAAGACTTGTTTGGAGTTCAACTTGAGGTTAATTCTTGTATAAAATAAGTTCTTTTTAATTCGTGTTTTTAACAATGGATATAAAGGGGGTGATTGGGGGAGGGGGGTATTGCACACGTTAATATTGCATGATATGTATTTTCTGAAACAATTTAAAGGAACAAATATCTCCAAAAGCTTCTAAATTCCGATGAGTGTGTAATAAAAGATGGTCATGGGAATTGTATTAAAAGCTCGTAAAGTCATTTCAGGTGGTCATAAGAATCATATTAAAAGTTCGTTAAGTCATATGAGTGACTGCATCTGCCTTGTTCCCTTGTCTCGGGGCAAATAATAAATACACTTCAAACGAAAATTTACATTTACAGATAAACTTTATGATGGTCTCTATTTCGTGGAAGGGGGGTGTATGGGTGCATTTGTATTATGTAATTAATATTTTGCTGGCTCCAAGAATAAAAGACGTTTAAACAGATTATTTTTCAAATGTCACCTTACAACCTAGATTTCATTTTAATTTTCATTTGTATGAATAAATTTATCAACCATAGAGTTCACACTGACACGACAGTTTGTCATGAATTAGTTATGTCATATCTGGATTACCCTGGTATCTGTTGACACTAAAGATATCGACTGCAACGTTTCGTTCATTGCTTTCAATAATCTAAGTAATCGAACAGGTGTTCACAGAGAATTTTTCAAAATTAGCTTATATAATAAAGGTACTTTCCCTTATAAACGTTGAAAAGTTATGGGAAAATTAAAATTCAACTTTGTGCAAGCATATATCAGGCATGGAAAGCGGAAGGTATATATCACATACGAAAAAGTAATGATTACTTAAAATTTGATCAAGTGCTTTGCACTTATTTCATTTTAACTGTGTGTGTGTGGGGGGCGGGGGTTAACATCCTTTCCCCATAGGTTTAATAATTCCTTTCCAATTCCTATTTTTTTAAAAACAAAGTCAGGCGATATCTCTTTTGTATATCTTCGTAATATATAAAAAATATTTAAAGTTATGAATATTTTGTAATCTATAAAGTGGTTTCTAATTGTCTTTAAAAAATTACAACGCTGAAAGTTTTGATTTTGGCAACTTAATTAAGTTATTTCCAAAAGGATTATATAGGCAACACCATCATCTGGTATCTTGCACAAATGCTTGGTAAAGTACCTCAATTATTTTTGACTTAACATGTTAAAATAGCATTACTTCAATGACAAAATCTTGGAAAAAATTATGTATCAGTGAGGAACGTATCATCTGTCCTTAAAACAAGTCTGGTAAGGTTTTTGGAATAAACTGCTGTGGTGGTGTAGAGTAAGATGGAGAGAAATCGTGAAAAGTGGGGATCACACTCAAAGTCGAGTGGTAAATGTATCATGCCTTTTGCATTTACATGTATGCTATATGAAGCATTTTTGACGTTTTATATGTGTAATGGAATGTAACAATTTTCTTACTGAATATTTTTTAAAAAGTTATCTGCAATTACATAGAGTAACATCCCCTGTTTGAGTCTTTAGTATGAGGAGGTCGAAATGTTGCATTTCGTCATGCATTGCGGGAAAAGGGTGCCATCAACCATGAGCTGCTGGAGAACAAAATCAGAAACTATGGATTTTAGGAGCCGGGAGGATGTTAGGGCTTTTATAGAAGCCTTTAAACAAAATAATCCTGTCACATGTGCGATATTTTGTCATACCCTACAATGCGATTCTGTGGAGGCGGTTGTTTCAATGGTAAATGGTAAAAACGGAGAGTTCCGATACAAAATTGTAAAAGCTGTAAAACTGAAAATAACATTTATTAATTTTACGTGTCTATAAATAATGTATCACAACATGCAGATACAAATGAATTGTTTTTGCCTTTATATAATGCGAAAATTGATCACTGTGCAGATTAAATTTTCATTAAAATTTGCAAAATTTAAAACAAGGACGACTTGCTAAACATGTTATATATTGCAGCAGCAGCATCGCTTGTAATAAAATGATTAATTTGTAAATATTAACTATTAAGTACGCTATATCACTTAAACTTTTTATGTTTTTCATATATAATTGGTTGGAAAATTTAGAAAGTTTTTCGGAAAGGTTGGGGGCACTATAGTATAAGTATTATTTTGATAATCAAATGAAGCTGTGAATTGATATTGTATAAGTACAATGCAAATGTAAAACTTATATGCAGTTCCAATTTAGAGAAGTTTGCCAACAAAGAGATCTTATTTCAAGGGCAAAATAAGTTCAGACATCATGGTGCTTTTATGATTGGTGTTCACTTTCACATTATCTTTGTTTTATGTGCTATGTAAGAGCCCTGTCTAAATGACTAATGCCTGCTAATTACATCTTCATATCTGCAACAGGTGCAGATTAATAACCAAAATAGACATAAGTGGTTACCTGACCAGACAATGGAAAGATATAATTAGTCTTAGAAGATATATATTTAATGTTATTGAATTTTTATATTTTGAACCTGATATTTTGAAGGAAACTGAACTGTGTGTGTGGCTTAAACTTCTTTCGAACTGATGACTAATCTGTCGTCACATGTTGCACTGAGAAACATATCTTGTTTGACAAATGAATAACAATAATTGATTTAATGTGTAGAGATTGTGTTGACATAATGTATAGTAATCGTTACAGGACTTCCCCGTTAGAAGAAATGTATTCTCTTTGTCCTTTCCTTATTTTGAATTCTATATATATTACCTAGGTTTATTGGGCCATCTTCACCTCTAAGTCTTATACATTTTGATATTATAATGCTATAAATAATTTTTTATTTTTGAGAAAAATATATAGCATAATTATCTGAAACCATCTGGTTGCAAATATTTCATTCTTGCATATTTTGTGTATCTAAATAATGTATCAAATTACTGTTTCACAAAGTTAATTAAGGTGACATTTTCTTTTTCATTTTCTTGAGAGGGGGGAGGGGGGTGTTTCTACTTAACAAAATATTTTTTTGTAACAAAAATTTTGAATTCATTCATTTGATATCTACATGAAGATTACACCCTTCAATATTCCTAATGTAATTGAAAGGCTCACCATATATGCACAGCTGCATGGTTTCCACAAAGTAGCTAGCACATAAAAAGAAATGGAATTGGAAATATGAATGATGTTTTAAATTTTAATAGTTTTGTTTTCTTACTCTCATGTAATTTGAAAATTAAAAAAAAATCATCAAGGAAACCTTATATAAATTGGTTATTTCATTTTGTAAAATCGACCATAAGTATATAATATTCTGAAACCATGAATAGGTAATCAGACTCCTTGTCATTATACTACTCAATATAGCACTCAATATCCTAATCTATTACTTTATTCTCATTCATTGATTGATGAGGACATTTTTGTATGCATGGTCAATACATATTCATTTCTTCCCAGAATCCATTTGAAAAAGCTGTTGCAGCTATATTTGTTTTATTTTACTTCCTAATCTTTAATCTTTTCAGTTATTTTCACTATTAGCACAGCTGTTAATTTTGTTTTTCAGGTAACATTTCGTCTCTTGGAAGCTGAGAAAAGAAAACTGCAGGTCCTACAGAAAGAGTTGGCCCAGTATGATGAAAAAGAACCACAGGGTTTACTGAAAGTATGGGCAAGAAAAAATTTGACAAAAAATGAAATATATTTTTCTCACATTATCTGATCACCGACACAAGTAAGTACTGTAAATCACTTTTTATTGAAATATATTTGAGAAAGTGTCTCGAGAATTTAATTCTCGCATATAATAATATTCCTAAAGATTATAAAGAGCAATAACCACAATTTGCGAAAATTTTGTCTCGCTAATCAGGTGCAATGACTATCTCACGAAAATAAGGTGTCGCGAAAATTAAGTGATCTACAGTACTTAGAAGTGAAAAGCCCAAGTCTTAATGACTTACCCAGTAGATAAATGTACATGTATTGTTGCAGATTAAGATATTATCTTTAAATATTTTTTGTTACACTAATATTGATTTTTGATACTTAATTTATTTGTTAGCATTATATTTTAGTAAGAGTTTTTTTTCTAATCCATTTTGGTTTGGAAGAGCCATATGACATTCAAGAGATATAACTTGGAGCAAATTGACACACATTGTGCATTCTGCTATAAAGCAGTACTAAATAAAGAGTTATCTTTCTTTACTTGTATTTTTCAGAGACGAGAAGAAAAGCAGCTTGAAAACAACATAAAGTTTGTACAATTTGGAAAAAATAAGTTTTGTTGTACATGTATTTAATTTGCCAAAATTATAGCTTGTTCTATCAGAAATATTCAAGATATTTGATGAAAATATAATAATTAATACATCCTATAAAATTTTGTTTGAAAATTTGACATCATAAAATAATTGTATTCAAAATGCAGGTATATTGACTATTTTCTTCATCCAAATAAAGCATATATTAATAACTTCATGTTCTGTCCTTGTAGCCGGATACAGCATCAGTACAACCAGTTGGAGCAGGAATACAGGATAGCAGCCATGGGGGTCCTACGACACAAAGGGCACGTCAGAAGGGTAGGTGATTCAAAATCAGAAGGAGGAGGGGGCATTAGAAGGGTAGGTGTCTCAAAATCAGATGGGAGGCATTAGAATGGTAGGTGTCTCAAAATCAGATGGTGGCATTAGAAGGTAGGTGTCTCAAAATTAGAGTGATCAGTTGTAACCAGAAATATAAGGATTTATGTCCAATGAGAAAAGCAGCATTGCATTTAAACAGATCAGATATTGGCAGAAATTCTACTTGGCATTATATGTTGATAGTTTTGAGAAAAATGAAAGTTGTTTACATTGTATCACATTGTAGTGGAATTCCCCCTAGTTGTTGTTTCATCTTCAGAGCTTCTGTCTTGGCATGCCCTCTTTGAAATACTGGGGAAAATCGCAACTTTGATGGAAACTTTTTTCTATAGGTCGTTCCTCTAATTAGTGTGGTTGTTAAAGGATCTCTGCAAAGCACTGAGATACCATTTTGTTATATTCTCTAAGATGGTCTTCTTAATTAATAGATATACAATGTACCCTGGTAGTATTCAAAGGCAATTACCTGTTCATCAGAAAAGAATCCCCCCCCTTTTAATCCTTATTTACTTGAAAGAATACAATTATGGAGAGAAATGTGTTTTATGTCAAAAGACCAAAGAGTCAATGGAATAGTTTTATCTATTTCTCTGGGAAAAAAATCATGAAATTTGATTCCTCTTTTTATCTTCTTTACCTCATTTTGAAAAAAACAACACACACCTGTGATTTTGTCCCACTCAGATAATCAGCTGAAATCACTGAGTCACAATGATAATCATCAACTTAAAAAAAAAAAAAAAACAACAGAAAAAGTTTGTGGTTGTTGAACACAAACAAAAGGAAAGGATCTCTGCCCCCAAAATGTTAGCTTCTTGATTTTACAGCAGATGAAGGTATCACAGAAATGATTTGATTTTTGTTTGCTTCCTGAGAAATGTCTTAGAATTGAGCCCCCCATGCCCCCCCCCAAAAAAAATTAAAATATTTTTCAATTTAAAGTACTATTTTAAATGAATTAAAGCAGCAGGTATTAAATATCTTATATAGCCATACTAAGTATATTATTACATAATTTGTCAAGTTTAAACATTGATGAGTTGTATTTTTGTATTGAAAATTAAACAAAATAGTATGAAAAAATTAAATCTTATTGTTATGTACTTTAAATTAGGAAATAAAAACCCTCAAATAAATGCTTCATATTTTTTTTTTTTTTTTTTTTTTTTTTTTTAATTTATTTTAACTTTCACACAGATTACACAAATATGAAACAGACGTATACATAAATACATATACAAATAAAGCAAAAGGCAAAAACAAAATTTAAAAAAATATTAATAAAAGCCAGTGTGAAAGTTTATGTTGAAAGAGAGGGGGGAGATATAAAGTGAGAGAGAGAGAGAGAGTGTTTTATCGAACAGTTGAAATTTTTTAAAGTTTTTCAAATATTTCCTGCCAGTATCTTTCAAATTCATCATATTTACAATTTTTTAACAAAAGAAATTTTTCTATATTCTTTTAATAACATTTTTCAAAGCCTCAATGTTTAATTTTATAGTTTTGGCATACTTACTAGCAAAAATATATTGTTTTATGATCAGAATAAGTAGATTTTCTAATTGTGAGTTTCTGTTTAAAAATTTACCAAATAAAATTGATTTATCAAAACAAACAGGCTTGTTTACTTTTTGGAAGATCCATTCTTCAATCTCTAACCATATTTCTTTTACAGCAGAACATTCAACAAAAAAGTGGTCAATACACACACACATAATGGTGAATCAATAAGTCTTAATTTAAAAAGATGACAATTTAGGAATTATTCTATGTAAGATTTGGAATTGTAACCATTGAAGTTTTGATTCTTGGGTTGTTTTGAAAGGTAGATCAAAAATTTTTTCAGCAAAATTCTAAATCATTTTATAACTGAAGTTATATTGCCCTTTTTATTTCTAATAAGAACATTATACATATCCTTACACCCTTTTTTATCTTTAAGAAAATTTCAACTTTGCATTGCATTGGCTTTATTTCATAATTCTTTAAAAAATATTCAACAGCATATTCAAAAGTTTGTATTTACTTTCAAGTTATAATGAATAAAATCAAAACTGTAAAAGTTTCCATTTAAACAGTCATTGATAAAACACAGTAACTTTTGATGAAAAAGGAGTAACACCTGGATTATGCCATAGGAAACTTAAATGTAGTGCCTGATTTACTTTATACCAGCTAGAGAAAAAAAATATTTTTTGTTTCCAAAATAAAGTCATTTCCAAACAGCCAAAGATGAATATTATTCCCAATTCTGCTTCAAGTAATTTAACCCATTTTTTTTTTTAGATTTCAATGAAGTAACAAAATTTTGATTATTTTAGCCCCCAAATTTATGCTCTTGAATAATTACATTAACTTTATGATTTTTATTATTCCATAAAAAATTATACAATTTATGACATCATCATATTTAAAATTTAATGTTTTTATTACATAATTTGTCAGTTTTTTTAATTTCTTCAATTTTTAATTTGTAATTAAAAACTCATGTAGATCAACAGAAAACTTAACACCTAGTAAATCAAAGGATGTAGTACTGGGATCAAACTTCCATCTTGAGTTGTTTTGAAAATTAAACTAATTTAGTTTTAGAAAAAATTTTTAGATTGATGCAAAAAATTAACATCTTATCCAATGTTATGAAATAACAGATGTATTTGCATATTGTGACAACTTGTAACCATCAATAGTTATACCTTTAATATCCTTATTTTTTCTAATTAAAATACCTAGAATCTCTGCTTCATATTTTATGTAAGAATTAATTGAAAAATCTCATTAATTTTTCTCATAATGTGCTGATATTCACATGTACTTATAGGAATACAACAGGAGCATATTTAAATAGGATTACTACTATTAACAAATATATTATTAATTTCTGCTCACACCAAATTATTTTCAGTCCAAAGTTTCATTTTAAGTTTACATCTAGCCTAGAAGTGCTTTGATAATATTTAAACTTGTTCAAATGCTATCAATCTATTTGCTCCTGACTATTGACAATGAAATGAGAAATTCTTCTATGAAAGGTAGGAAAATATTGACCCTGCATTCTAATTCTGCACAACTATAAATTCCAAATAATGGATTCCCAAAGTCTGTTGGTTGACAGTAATAGTTCTGTGTTTGTCTTTCCCGTGATTAAGGTTATAGTAAAAGTAGATGTGACACCTAGATCGGTCCTTAAAGTGTGAGAAATACTTATTTTTGTGACGTCTTCCACAGGAAAACTGTTAAAATAAAATGCCGTGTGTGGAATTAATAAAATAAACAGTGCAATTGGCATGTTTTTCAAAAGAATTTATTTCGGACATGCATAGTATATTAAATTGCTTCCAGTGTTTTGATAAAGTAATTTAAGAACAGATATCTTTAAAATTATGATAATGTTAACTCAGTGAAGTAAGAATATATATTTGGCTTCATATTTTATCTTCCTAGCAATTTAAAGTCCCTACTTGATCAATGGTTTGTGTGTATTATCTTAGAGTTATTAAGATATAAAGATAAAATCAGGTTCCATTTATTTATGTTAAAGCCATTGGTATAGAGTTCCGAGGACTTTGTTAACTTTACTTAAATATTACCCATCAGAGAAATAATGAAGCTAATCATTGATTGTCATGGAAGTCCAGTGACAGGATTTTTCCTTCAGGACCCCATGCTGATAATTTTACATGACCATCTCCCCCTAATAATAGGTCTTGTCTCTAATCATCCCATAATCCCCGTGATGCCCCTCCTGTGGCTTTACTGATTGATCACAGATCAATTAGCAGTTCCTTTTGTTCAAATCTGGAGAAGGCAGGGCTTGTTGGGCTTGTTTTTCTCCCCCCAAAATAATGGTATAGATAGGGATCAGCTCCTACCCAACTGTGTGTGCAAGACAGTGTATAGAAACCATGAAATGTACTGGATTCGGTTTTGCCGTTATATTTTTTTTACCTGCTCGTAAAGGGTGACACCCAACAGTGTGATAACTCTTATGTCCCTTTAAATTTTCAAATATTGGTGGGAGAAAGTGTTCAATATTTTCTGATGTATTTTGGGATAATGTGTGTTTGTTGACTTAATAGACTTGATAAACACTTGAAAACCACAAAATAAACTTGCTGCATCTGGGCTGTTCACCTTCCGAAAGATCAATGTCCAATTTCAAAACTACTCTTTAACTGTTTGTTACAATGTGATGGATTTTAACTTTGATTCCTGAATGAGGATGCTCTATGTTCATTATGAGTTAATTCAGACACTGCCTAAGAAATGAGGTCCATTCTTTTTGTGTGTTGAATTCTAAGATGGATCTGTGTTTGGAAGGAGTGCCATGTCTTCATCTTACTCACAAACAGTTAATGTACTATCTGACTCAGGTATATTTAATTTATTTTCTTGGATATTTGAATGGATTTTGATTTTAGAGGGGAATTACAAGGGTTTTTATGTGTTTAATATCTAGAAAAATAACTTGTAAGTTATTTATTTTCCAGTTTATTGGTGCTTCTACTTTAATGACCATTTAAAAAAATCATTTACCTTTAAATGATCAAGAATTTCATTGAATTTGTTTACCAAGAAATACAGAAGTATTGCCAGCATTTGTTTATCATGAATGACTAGAAAAACAATCTTGTTGATCCACAGATAGTCATCAGCTGCAGTGAAATTGAGCCCAATTTTATTTAATTTACCTGTTTTCAGTGAAATCTAGTTTCTCAGGTGAAAATCTAGACCCATTTCATCACTATCTTCAATGATTCATGATAAACATTTCTACAATATTTGATTTGTTTATTTGTTTGCTGAGCAGATTGTATCGGTGTTAGAATTGTCACCCCCTCTCTAACTCGGTCACTGATAGCAGCATTCTTCTGCCTGGGTAACAGTTGACTCCCATACAAACATATGATGTCATCAAATGTTAAAATACCCTCATACCTGATTGTTGATCAACGTGAAGTGGTTACAATTACAGATAGCATTAAGACCCATTTCTGTTTATAATTGGAATGTTTTGTATTTTTCTTGGACCTATGTATGTTTTTTGTCTAGATTTGTATAATAATAGTGGAAACTTTAAATGTTTTACTTTTGCTTTCATATGCAGTTCCCATTAGAGTTTATGTATTGCGAGTAAATATTTATTCATTGTTGATGCTCCCTCTTTCTCATTCTCTATGTATATTTTTGACCAAAGTTCATGGTTAGAAGAGAGAAATTATTTATCATGTATATAAACACAGCTGAGTTGGACTCTCATTGACTTCCAGTTATTCTTATTTTAGATGTTTCCAAAGAGTATAAATCAATCATTGTCTTGGAGTAAAAACACAAGGAAATATTTTGGGATGGTTAAAGAGGTCTCGAATTTTTTCTTGAACCAGAGTCAAAAGATGGTTGATCTTGATAACTCATCCTTTCTTTACTGTCATGACTGAATGTACCATGGCTCAGATCTAGCATTAGGTTTCCCAATACTAGACTATGGAAAAGCCATATGCTGCCTTTGATTTCTAAATGTTGTTAAAGAAGATCATTGGAAAAGTTTAAATGTTATTATGTTGACTTAAAAAGAGATTTAAGTCTATCTGTGACCCCGAGAAAATTATTAGAATTGTCCAAGACTGCTTTAACATTGATTCAGTGTATAGTCTGATTAAATCTAGAGTACTGGACCAATGTTTGAAGAACTGATTGACGATAGCTTAGAAGTCTCCAGAAATTTTTATTTTATCGAATATCATCTAATGCGCACATACTTATGATAAAGGAGACATAGGGAGTGATTCTCAAATGCAGCCTATATTTTGATGCTGCAATGCGGTACTTCTATGTCTTGAAGTGTTTTGATATTTAATTGATAAACAATTGCATAACACTCAGAAAACATTATTTTTCCCCCCTGAAGGCTTGGTTAGAGAAGGCTTGGCATTAAGTAGCCACTGCTTCTTGGCAAGAAGTAGTTGTTGCTTCGATCTTTATAAAACAAGAATAGATATGGGTTACCCCATATCCAAAGATATTCGACTTTTAGATTTAATATGCTTATCAGTGTTTATAATGACGTTAATAAAAAAACTGCAATAGGGCCTAGTTTGGAACTGGTGTAAATTTCGTGAGCATGGTGAGGTCACCCAGTCTCCTAACAAACGGTACACATAGGCCTACATGAACCTGTGTCCGCAAGACCAACATTAGCCTTGATCTACACACGTGCGATGGAGCTGTTAAACGCATCCAGCGAGCTCGGAGGAACACGTTTTGTTTTGCCGAGAAGTTACGATGGCAGACAAAACTTTTCTTTTCTTAATTAGATCATATGAATACGAATTCTGATTAATAAAAATTATACAATCCCTGTTGAACTATATATAGTTTGTTCTAACATTTGCATCTGCAACAACTTGTGTTTAAAATGGCCGTGTTAGGAAAATCAAAACCGGATCGGAAAATTCTAAACTGAAAACCCTTTTTGTTTTGAAAATTACTGAAATATGCTAATGTATATAACTTACATTATTCAAGTTCTATATAAAATGTAAGCCTATGAACTCCAACACGAACCCGAATGTCGCGTTTTGCCACACATTTTATCCCCTACAGTTTACAAAGTGTACACACGTGAGCAGAATCCAGCCAGGGATTGAAAATTCCGTCATTTAATAATATACACACACAGAATGATTTATTTCTTCTTAAAAGGAAATTGTATGATAATTAACAGACTATAAACATGTACTTAATACAATTGTTGATATAGTATTATCAATTCATCGGTGAAAAAATATGAATCGAAGAATGACCTAAATATTCTCTATTATCAAACAAAAAAAAAAAAAAAAGGCTGAGGTGGGAGCGAGCGTAGGAATATTGATATTTTTTATTTGCATTTCGGGGGGAAAGTGATTTTCTAATAATATTTTGACGTTGTTTTTGATTTCTTTAACGTATGACATACACAACTTCACTCTTATCATGAACAATAATGTTGTATCTACTTAATCATGATGGAACTATTTTGGTCGGACCAATTTGTCTGAAAACAATAATATATCTTGCAGAGATAGTATGCATTGATCGAATATATTAAAAAAGAAAAATAAATAGCTTAATACCTTTTCTGTTTTCTGTGCGTGTTTTGACCAATGTACATTCTAGAGTCATTGTTCTTCACTGATTGTTATATTTTTGCAGATTAGTTCTAGGCTGTCAGGAAATAACCCATATAATCATGATAAATGTCCATTAGCCTCGCTGCACTGAGAAGTAATGTACCGTGATGTGTTTGTTGTCAATCATTTTTCATCACTTCAGACTGCAAAACAATCAAAAATATGTTTACTTACATGCAAGTTTTTCAAATTTTGTTGATAGATGCAAGAAATGCTGTTGAAAACATGGTAATTTTGTGCCAAAATTTACTCTGAAGATGACTTTTAAGACTTTTTGAATTTAGAAATATTTCTCTTATTGAGAACGCTTTGCGCTGCATTGTCGTTTCTTTTGGTGGTTGCTGGGGATTTGATTCCATGCTGACGGGTGGCAGATATAATTAGGTAGCTCCTCCCAGAGTGATGGGAATCAAACACTTCAGGGTAATGTTTGATCTAGAATTATCAGTCCTTTTACAAGTTCAGATATGTCCCCACCATTGACAACTCCTGGGACAATATTGACTCATTTTGAAGGAATTTGAAACCAAACAAATCATTTTAAAAATTTTGAAGCTAATTCTTTGCCATGGAGAATAGTGAGCTTCCATGCACAAAGCAATCATTATCCTTCATTGATGACAACCAACTTCTTGTTAGGTTGATTTAAATAAAGGCTTGATTTTCCTTTTGTGGAGAGTTTTTTTCTCAAAATTGGTTTTGAAAGGTTACCATATAATTTATTCACATTTTTTTGTGAAAAACTCCCCGATTTCCATCTTATCGTGCCCCGTTAGATTTCAGATATTGAGAAGAGAACTTAAACGTGAGAATTTTGCGAACACTTCAACGGTGACAGGTAAATGCCCGTTATTGCCCTGAGAATTTGATATTGTTATTTGCATAAACATTTCTTTAATGTGGACATTACCTTTTGGGACATTGATTTAATCATAATTTTTTTTTAAATGTAATGCATTATTGAATTGAGTTATATGAAAAGACACTATAGTAAAGATGCCTACTGGGCATATTTAATCTTTCATTCGTGCAGAAGAATATTCAGGTATAACATTCATTTCATTACAAATGAGGGAAAAGACTAAACAAAACTGTTTGTTTTTCAAAGTCAAACCAATAGGTCGAAGAAGAAAAACAATATTTTGACTAAATAGAGAACAGATGTCGAGTGTCCTTTTACTAATATTGTGTTGGATTACTATGTAGGAAATAGTACTGTTTATTTGTTGGGTTTCTATCAACTTTAGCTGAAAGTCAATTTTCTACTGTTTATTTCTCCAATCAAGCCAGAGTTTCTGTTGTGAAAAGGCAATGTGTTGGATCCTTGACTGATGCCACAGTGGGTTCCTTTGAATGTTTCAAAGAATGAAACATTTCAGTGTTGCAACAAATGTCTACATGTGTTACAAAGCACAGATGATATGAGCATTGGTACACAACTGAACACAGGAAAAACGCAGTTGTTACATAGCTGGGTGACAGTTTTATGCAGTTCCCCGATCTACTCCAATGACCTGTGTAATGCGGCCTGTCAGGGCTCCTCATTCATTGTGTTATAACTGTCACTTACCTTGTGAAGAGTTGCCTCTACACCATTGTTTCATGCTTTTCCTTCTTTGTGGTTCTAAGTAAAAAAAAAAAAGCAAAATTTTACCTAGGGTTCCATGCAGAATTTTTATTCAAGGATATACATGAATTTTTCTCTTTGTAAAGGTAGGATGGCTATTCTTGATACTTTAGTATGAAGGTATAATTATTATGCCATTGAGCATTGGTAGGATATAAATGGTGCATTGTTGTGTCTTCATGAAATGATATCAAATGCAACAAAGTCATTGGAATTATAAGATGCAGATGATTAAAGGTGTGGTTCAGTGTACTAAGAGCAACTAAGAATAATGTCATTTATGGCAATGTTTTGACACTTTGAGAATTTTAAACTTAAATGAAAATTTGTAATGGATGGTAATTATAACCACTGAAAATTACAGTCAAATCAGCATATTTATATGAATCAATTGAAACATTTTATCATGCAGACAGAGTTATTCCCCTTGTTGTGCATCTTGTAAACATGTATTGATTGCAAAATGCATCATCAATATAAATTGTGCATAAAAGTTTCTATTGCACTCATGGCCAATGAAAAGAAAGTGAAGTACAGGCACAGAATGTGTTGTATTTGGAAAGATTTATTTTGTCTTTTCGGTTCATCTTATAGGCAGGTGAGACAATGTGTTTTTCTAATTTTGTTATAATGAGAATTTTTCAGAATTATGTAATTGGTTGCATAAATTGACTGCTGCATAAAATACATTTGCATGACTGTGTTGCACCTGGTCTGTTTTAAAGAGCACAATGTTTGTTTCCTATTGTGTTACCATTAGAAAAAAAATTTTCATGTATCGATTTTTCGATATACTGCTGTCCAGGTATATTGTATCTCTTTTCTTGCTGCAGATATTTAATTTTCGGTAATTGAGCAAGAAGTTTTTACGACAGGGTATTGACACTAAGTAGGGTTTTTTTTATTGATGACAATTTTGTATCTATTTTTAGTCGTCCAGAAGTCAGCCAGCCATAGGCCTGAAGCAAACAGCTAAACCCAGGGTAAGTTATAGCTATAGTTCCCAGACAAGTCATATTACCCGAGTTATTATACAGTACCTACCTTATTTATTGAAATGGGTATAAGTATTGAGCAGTTGAAGGGAGAGAGAATTATTAAAAAAAGAAATGATTAAGTCTATTTTTAGTATTGCTTAATTAACACCTTTCAAATGGATTGAATCTTGGAGTTCATTGATGACTTTAACATTATCCTTAATTCTTATGTAAAAAAAAAAATTGTCATTTTAAATTCATTGGATTCAAGATATCCTGTCCTAATTTTAAGAATAGAAGCTGTTGTAGGGATGTAGCCTTCATTCAAGGATTAGTCTGAATTCAAGGCTATGTCAATCTACAGCTTTGAAAAATGCAGAATTCATTGACCTAGCTAATTTTAGCATCAAGTAATTTCAAAAGCAATGAAATAACAGTACATCAAGTGTAAAATTAGCCTTTTAAGTGTACCTTGACTTCTTTTGATTTTTGAATGAGTTGTAATCTTCAAAGGGAAGCTTAATTGGAATATTAGCTGGGTTAATTATTCCTTTCCTGTATTTGTTAGCAGGGTTACAGTTTCATAGGAATTTATTAAAAGAATGTTTGAGCATGAATGAAATGTATACTTTAGGCAGATTTTATCAAATTGAATATTATCTTCCGTAACTTTTCTCAGATTTGTCAATTATTTAAAAGATATTTCATATTTTAATAGAAAATGAACTGCTTTTCATTTTTAAAACCATGAAGTGCAAGTTTGAAAATAGCATATTCCTTGAAATGCAGCCACTGCAGGAACCAGGTTTTTCTTGCTACAAAACAGTAAGCTGTTACACGTTATATAACCCGTAATCTGACATCAATGAAATGAGCATTACATAAGGTATTGTTCGCGATTAAGCAGATGAACTTTTTAATAAGTGTGCATGGGCGTAAAAAGTACTGTGCTTCTTTGATGTTCAAGTGACTTCCGAAGCGCCTTGAAAAGAATTTCCTCCAAATGGAAAAAAACCTCTTATATTGGTTTCATGGAAAGTGCTTTTAAATTTTAAACTTTTGCACATGGATACTTTTGATGCACGTTATATAACTAAGGTATTGTTTTTTGAACTTTTTTTTTTTTTTTTGATGTTCAAGTGACTTAGAAAATCAGTGAATTAATTGTTGAAATTCAGAGAATATATTATCTTTTGAAAACATCTCTTCAAAAAGTTATGATTAACATACATATTTCTTCAAAATCTTTATTGGCATCAAACATCCTGTTCTCGGCATTTAGGAAATAATTTCTGACAATAGTGAGTCACCTGTTACAAGAATTGTCTGTTGCCTCATCAACTTGTTGACTAATCCAGCTATCTGTGATGCAATACTGGTCAGACATGAATCATTGCTGCTGAGCCAAATCATTTGCCAGAAAAACCGTTTATAATTCCATCCTGAACCTCCCCGCCTGCAAGTAATGGAACAGTCTACTATTTTCTTATTGGGATCTTATTACCCCCTTTGCTGTAGGGCTAGTCCATCTGTTTTCTTTTTGATTTTTTTTTTCAAAATGGAGAAAGTTTATGCTGAAAGATGGAAGATTTTTTAGATGAATTTAGAGAAGGATTTTGATGAATTTATAAAGGAATGACATAGAATAATATTGTTTTCCACTGAGGGTAAGGTTAAAATATTTATTGCACTGACTGAAAATGAAAGAAAACGATTGATTTTAGTTGATGGAATAAGTCTGTCTGATGCGAAGGCATGCATGTTCACTAACAGAAGCTAGTTGTCACATCTATGTAATGGTATTTGGCTTGATTCATTGTAGGTTATTTATAATAGTTCTGAGTTTTTTGACAGCAATAGATAATGAGGTTAGTTAGTATATATAAACCATAGAACAAGAAGAAATTCATTCATTAGGATCATATTACAAAAACAAGTTGTTTACAATATATTGCAATAATGGCAAACAATAGTATCGCAATACAATTTTGTAATATCGATATATTGGCAATATATAGAATTTTGTCATTAAATATAAAAATGGACTTATGAAAGTTGTTATTTAGCCAAATAGTAAGTCAGAAGTTGTTTTGTGGGAACATTTCAGAGCATAACTTAAATGAAATCAACAAGATTTTTTTCCGTGTTGGTTACTTATCATAGTTATGTACATTCCGCATGTAAATTAAAGTAAATTTAGTAAGAAAATGCCATTTTTATTACATTGAAAATATTGCAATACATATCGCAATACAGTTAAAAATATCGCAATATATCGCAATACGAAATCTCAGGCCAATACCCAGCCCTGCTTGGCGGAAAAATATTTTTGGCCACCAGCTACGACATATGGAACTCATTGTGAATAAAAAATGAATGGTCAGTCAATCCCATGGGAGAGTGTGGTATATATATCCCAGGAATAACTTAGAATAGATGTGCTACAAGTTCTGCTCAATGGGTAACAGATGCTGCAAGTAACAGCTTTAATGTGAATCATAATTATATACAGGAAGCTGCCTATAGGTGCTATCATATTCAGATATATCAAATGAATTGGAAATTGACAAGGTTTCACCTAACATGTAAATTTTTATCTTGTTTTTCTGACCTGTGTCATCAGGGGTAATAACCTATTATTTTTTGGCCATGCATCTTTACTATATTACATGTATAACAGATATTTGTATGATAGAATTTGATACTAATTAACTGTAGATGTTTCCTATGTACTTGTTGCTATATCTACAGGTGTCCAAAAATACTTCACTTTATGCATAATCAGATAAGTAAAAAGATAAGTATTATCACTAGGGGTGTGCAATATTACCGGTATATCGGTATATTGCGGTATTCTCCACCACGATAATATATCGCAATATGAAAATCAGATACCGGTATTTCACGATATATATAAAAATATATAAAAACCTCCTTCATTATAGAAACTGCTGAAATAATACTTGTAACTGCCTCAGGCTTTTTATCTCGTTAAAACAATACTTCGTCAGCTTTCAGAGAAAGATATATCAAGAGAAAGATAGAGAGAAGAGAGAGAGAGAGAGAGAACGTTTAATTTACTGTTGCAATTTTACATATCTTACTTTAAATATGATTTATAATTAATTATAAGACTTTAAAATAAAATTAATAAGAAAGATAATATGTTAAACATTTTTACAGGGTGTATACCAAGTGTATTGTGGTTCTCAAAATCTCGCATCGAATCTACATGATTGACATCGCGATGAAATGTCAAGTTCAATATACATGTTCATATTACAAGTAAATGGTCATCCGTGTTTTAACTTGAAGAAGTGTTGCTCCAATTTTTTTTTTATAACTTTCAGGCCATTTTAAACACCTTCATTCTATACCAGGAGCATATTTATTAAATCACTAGATACAAGCCATTTCCTGATCGTTTGTCATATGTGAAATTAGGTCGGTTAGACTAAAACACCAAAACGCTCGAAAAATAAGTCAAAATTTCTTTCTGGCTTTAATTTTATTCTGTAAATACAATAACATATAGTATGTATTGTTTTATTCTTGAATAGCATTTCATGCTACTTCATTACCCCCCCCCCCCCCCCCCAAAAAAAAATTATAATAATAATAAAAAGACAAAAGTTTATATATTCTGTATAAACTTTTTTTTTAATTTGAAAATTCTCCATAGGGGTTCATTTTGTTATTATTTTACCTGGTATTTGATTAAAAGTAAAGTGTTACAATTATGTGTGCAATTAATGTATTATCCCTCCTCCCCCTTTAAAACTTAAAGATAAATTCAAATATATAGTCTTTGAATTTGACAGCATTTCAAACATTCTGCTCGAATTTATTTATGATAATTAAAATCTACAATATATTGCAATATATTGCAATATTCAAAGTTAAATATTGCAATATATCGCAATATGGTTTTCACTCGCAATACCCAACTCTAATTATCACTGTTGAGAGACCAAACTCTGCAATTCAGTGATATCACAGTGTTATAGATATGAACAGAACTTTACACTCTGGGAATCTACTGAAATCTGGCTTGTAACAAACTGTCACATTGATTTCTTTACTGACCTGGTAAGAACATCTTAAGCTCTGCTTCAATTTTTTTGTCAGGGTCTAATTGAACAGTTTCCATTTGCTGATGAAGACTGACTCTGAATAATTTCCCTTTAGGTTTCGTCTCTCATGGGTAGTAAATGAAATGTTTTGTCAAAAATTTGTCAAGTGTTTAAAGATTTTTATGATTTTTTTGTCAGAATAGGACATTTTTTATGTGTTTTTATGAGGCCTTGTGAACTTTTGTCCTGGACTTTCTAGATTATGTATTATCTTGTAGGCTTATATGGCTTTGGACTGCACTCATGGGGTGAAAAACGCGGTTATCAGAATACCATTGTTAAGTCATGCGAATTTCTATCATCCTTTTCAGTTTTGATCAATCTAAATTATTTTTTTATATATAACCTGCACTTGTCACAATTGTAAGAACTTTAGTATATATATAATAAAGTAAACAGCTGTATGTGATGTAATATCTTAAGTTTACAATTATTATGAAATATACAGTCATGGTTGATTGTTATCATTGCACACAAACATATATAATACTTATAGGATGCTTTTTGGCATTTTAAATCCCCACATCAGGGAATGAAAGTGAAACCAACAGATGTTCATTAAATCTGGACTTTTTGTCTTTCATAGATTTTGCTATCATTCTTATCATGTACAGCATCTGGCTGACAATGCACTTAAAAAAGATAGAAATTTGAGATCTAGAACCTAATATGTATTTTTTTAAGAAAACTGAATCAGTACCAAAAAAAGGTCAGCCCAGTTAAATTTTTTATTATCATGGATCTGTGTTGTTCATGGTTTTGTGAGTTTGTGGTATTCTGCGTTAAATGTAAGAAATGTACGAGGTTTTCCAGTTGCGGTCTGTCACTTATCTTCTCCTACTATACTGTAACGAATCCTATCTTTATAATCAGATAGGTGTGTATAATACAGCGAAAAAAATATCCCAAAACACTAAAGGCCACCAGAAATTTTACTCTTTTAACAATAATAAAAACCGATTTTCAGGTAAATTAGCTCTTCGCATGAAAAGGTATAAGTTTCTCCTGTAATAAAGTAGTGTTGATAGAAGGTTTGATAAGCTATGGAGTGATGCGATCTGTGTATAATGTTGCAAGTGACAGTGGCCATAGGATCTGTATATTTCTTTTTCTGTCTTTCCACAGCCATCCATCTTTGGAACAATTACAAAAGACAAAAACCCCAAGGACAGGCGACTGGTAAGTATACTTGAATTCTAGACGTAGACTTTATTTTTACAGTACATGTTCCAGTACATGTTCTTTTAGCGATGATGAAGAGACCAGAGGATGTGTCCTTTTGGGTGAAACTAAATTATATTGAGAAAAAGAAGTCTCATCTATCAATAATTATATGTGATTTTGACATCCTAATATGAATAATTTCACAAATGTGATAGTGTTAGCTACCAGGTATATTATGTTACAGATAAATGTCAGTATCAGTAAATTAAAATAGGTGTACCTATGAATGTTATGAAAAAATACTACTGAATGCTTCCAACGTGTTACAATCATAAACATATTTATACATTGAAGTTAAGATCCAATTCTTTAGTTGAATGCAACATTGTCTATGTAAAACCATTTATATAATAGTGTTGCATTATGCATGTACTATGCCTAAATAGTAGGCAGGGTTTGACACATGGTGCACGAGCCGGAGGCGAGTGCACCATGTGTCAAACCCTGCCTACTATATAGGCATAGTACATGCATAATGCAACACTATTGTTATTATTATGCTGACTGTTGTAATTATTTATGCGGCAATCTATTTGACTTTTTCCAGAAAATATCGGTGCTTAAACAGCGCACCTGCAAGAACTAATTCAAAATATTCATGCTAAAATTGTTTGCATGCTTAGTTATTTTGCTTACTAGTATTTTCTCTAAATAAGTCGGGATTTTCTGTCCCAAAGCAACACATCTTTATTTTCTGTTTTGTTCGTAAGCCTTATTTGTTTGCAGACGTCGATTCTCATTGATAATTTTCTTTTACATCCTTCAATCAAGCGTCATATAAAAAAGCGTTTTAATGACCCTATAAAATCAGTTCATCTAACGATCTGTATGTAATTAGTTTGAAAGTTTGTTGTACACATTAATCTAAAGTTCCTTAGAATAATATAACTGTTTTCAAATAATATTTGTTTATTTTCTCCTTCTTGTGTCAATTGTATAAATTAAGTTTATATATTTAATAAAATTATACCAATTAGTGATCGTCTCTATGGCGTAATCGATAAGGCATCGGACTGACCATCTCATGTTCGTGAGTTCGATCCCCGGCATGTGCAAGGAAGAATTTTATTCAGTAAATGAAGCCGTGCACTATTTCGGCATAGTATGCTTACGCTATATAAATCCTTAGACCACTATGCGAGAATAGTAGGGTATGGGTTATATAGAGACAAACTGACAGGAAGCATAATAATAGGTGATAGGGTAGGGTGGGGAGGGGGGAGGGAGTTGTAACTTACTATCCAAGTGAGACTTTGTAGTATGGATTTAAGATATGTATTCACATGTTAAGATGGTCTAGTGTCTGTAATATAAGTAAGATAAATGTAAAAATCATTACAATTTGTTGTTGATTCCTTTCAAGCAATTTTGGTCTAACATGTGAGGTATGTCACTTGACTTTTCACCATAAAGTCAGTAATATGATGAATGTCACAAATCTTGTGGGATGAAAATTATGTTTCGAATGGTATAGGGTTAAATAGTCAGGCCTTTTAAATGTCTGGAGTTATGACAAAAATTCCTTCCTTTGTAATCCTGGCCTGTGTGCATGTCTTAGAAGAAGGTCCCAGTAAAGTACAGCTCTTGCATGAGTGGTTCAGTAACTTATAAATAATCATCATTATTATAAAGATGACAGTAAGATGATAATATATACGGCTAAGGGTCTTGTACACAATAAGGGTCGCAAACAGAATGAACGGGTCTTTTAAATATTTTTTTTCAAAAGAAGGTTGCAAATGAGTAGTTTGTTACAATTATGAAAATCAAACAAAATCTTTTTGGGAGGCTTTTCAACAAGACAGATATTATTGTTTCCAAAGAAATTCCAACCATTGTTAAATTTTATTGTGGCAGCTAGGAAAGCATTACATTGAAGGTCAAAGTGCTAAAACTAAACAACTGGTATGGTGTGTGGAAGATAACTTGAAAATGTCATAAAAACTCAATATTGCAGATGATATAGGTCGTACAAAAATCAGAGCTATTAAACAGCTGGAAGGACATGTGCTGAGATTAAAGTTACCTGAAAATTATCTCTGCTTTTCCGGTTCTGATAATTAAACTTAAAAAAATACCCTCCATTAAATGATTGTGTCTTGACTTTAATGAACTAATGGGTGATCTGAGTTTTAAGATCGCGGCCTTGATGCCAAAAATACATGATTCTAGAAATCAAAGGAATGTTAAAAAATTGAAACAGAGACAAGCTTTAGCCTCTGATAAAAGATTGGTTTTTTGGGGGGTTGAATTATTAGCATGCGGAATTTTTTGTTCTAAATATTTCAAAATTCTTTGTTTCTAAATTATGTCAGAAACAATAGAGAGTCAATAAATGGTGCTATATATAAATTTTCCTTCTTTTTGAAAATTCCCTACACATGATCAAAATATAAATTCCTTGTTTTTAATCTGTAGACATGTTTTTTTTTAAAAAAGGAAAATCCTAAGAGTCTTGAAAGAGATATTATATCGTAGCCTCTAGCTATTTCCTTATTGAAGTTAATTTTATTGGCTGAAAAGATTAACATGTATCTGCAAATTATGATACATGTATCCAAAATAAATAAAACCCACTTAGTAATAATAATCACCAATCATGCACTTTGATATTATTGCAATATTGCACACACTAAATTGAGAAGATAGAAATTACTTTTTAATACCCTTATTCCAATTCCACCCATCATTTTGTGGCTTAAAAAAATGAACGTATTCACATTTGGCATTAATATACCAGTAGTTGATGTACTTGAAACGGAGGCTGCATGCCGTAATCCTGAAAAGAGACAGAAAGCAGGAGTCATGGTAAAGGAAAAGCTTGGCAGAATGCACAGAGAACTGCACTCACTTTTGCGAAACATAAGCCAGGGTTTACCCTGAGCGTTTGATATTTTAACTTTACAATTTGTTGATTTACACAGCCAAGATTCCTAAGTGATGTTTTGGGAAATTAATTAAAAGGGATGCTCTGAATCTTTGAATCCTGAAGAATTTGTAAAACTAATGTTTACCTTGTTTTCAGTAGGTAGTCATGTAAATTTTATCCAGATGTGTAAATAATTAGTGGATTTTCTATTTTGAAAGAGGTTGGTACATTGTAAGCTAAATTTTGTTTGGAAGTAATTCCTGAGATTTTTTCCCCCAATTCCTGTGACTGTCAACGGATTGAAGGCTATTCACCCTCATACCATCAGAGTCAATGTTCTCCGATTCTAATTCCTGTGCAGAAGGGGGTAACATGATCAACTTATTTACATATAAAATCAGATAATCCGTCAGATTGCCAGTAAATAAAATGAACAGAGCAGCTGCTAAGAGCTTCCTGTATATAAATGTGCCAAAATAATGATGGATGCACATGCAGTTTGGCATAGATGAAGAAGACCCCCACTGACCTTGACCTTACAGTTTGGATGTTTATAAAAGGGAGGAGATAGGAAGCAGGCAGGAGCCAGAATAATTGTTTTCTTTAATTGTGTTTTTGATGCAGTTCCATCCAACTTCATCTAACCTCTCTTTAGATTTAGATGTTTTCTTCTTCAAACTTGCAGCCCTAATCTTCTTATCAAATTGAATTTAAACGAAACCTTAATGTTGTAAATAGCCTCTAACCAGTGCTCAGCCACTTAATGGGTTCCATACATTATTCATCATCTGCTCATAGAATTCAAGGTCTTCAAGACAAAAAAACAAGGTGATATTGTTACATTTGTATACCTATCAAGATGGTTAATCAATAACTTTGTCTCTGTATTGTATAGATTTACATGTAGATCGAAGAATAAGGAGAAGAAATGCCGTGAAGATGTGATCATTTAGTGTACTGATACATATTTACAATTAGACCTTGCCTGCTTAATGATCCTTTGGACATGTTGGAATGTTTTTCTCTTTAATAGAAAATGTCAAAATTTAAATTTATGATTTTCTCCAAAAAATACAGAGCGAAACCTAAAGTAAAACTTGACCTTTGAGTAGAATAATTGAACCAAGTAAAAAAAATGTATAATGATATGACACCTGTTTTTGTTGTTGTTGCAATGAATTTGGACTATGCAATATAGTATGAGTAATTCAGAAGCTTTTGTTAGGGATGAGTAACTCCAAATAATGCTGCTTTTTTTCTAGATATGCTAGGTATGGCATTTGTTAGTTCAACAGTTATGCACCCTTACAAAGGGAGATAATCCCCACTCCACTGGAGATAAGGGGGAGTTATCTCATGAAGAGACAAATGAGGCTTAAGTTTTGTAATGTTTTTGGTCACTGTTTTGTCAATTTTGGTATTTCCTCCTTTTTCTAGAAATTTTATTTTCTTTGATGCCTTAAATATATTACCACATATTTCCAGCTGAGTCTTTAAAACAGCTGTTAAACTGTCCTTGAGGTAATTCTCTGGTTGATCTTTTTTTCCCTACCACATATCGATGAAGAAAACCTAATCCGATTCCTCTGTTGGTATTTTCTTTGATTTTGAGTCCTTTGCCTGCATGTGACATCCTGATTAGCCTCTCAGATGAAGTCTTAGTGGATACAGACAGGACCAGACTTTATTATTCTGGTGGCCCAGTTTATATACAGGTTTCCAGGTCTCTGTCAAGGCCTTTTGAGATGCATGCCTGTCATCTTGGGAAAGTCATATGCTTGCTAGAATACATTGATCTGGTTTCCTTTTGACTTGTTGGTGATTATGCATGTAATGCAGAAACTCAAACAGGGGAAGAAAGCCTTGCAGTTGCACCCTGCAGCTTGCAAACTAAGAAAATTTATTTTAGAAAAAAAAAATCATGAAGGGGAATGTTCAAATTTGTTCAAAATTTGTTACAGATATAGCAAGGATACATGCAGATTTCTCATGCCCATGTGTTGTATTCTATAAAAAGACCAAGGTCAAGGTGAAGTGGTCCCAATTATAATGTAGGAGTTACTCTCTTTGAATTTCCTGCACAATT